AGTGCTTGCCTTGAGTCGAGCGTGGGCGTCCAGTGCATTTTCACAGACTCTAATTCAAAGTCTTAAACAAGAAGTTCCTGGTCTATCCTGGTCTTCCTTCCGACTTCACACCCGATCTCACCATCGAAATCGCCTCCCCCCTCCAAGACATGCTGGCCGTCATGTTGGTGGTCCGCTGCATCTGCCGGTGGTCGCCCGACGGTTCGGTCCGGTGCCGCTTCGGGTTCCGGTGTTCCGGTCACCGGTTCGGTCAGGTCCGGTCCGCATGGATGGATTCTAACCCCACGCGAACACTCATGAAGACGGCGTGAGGATGGATGACACATCACGGCTGTGTTGGCCATCCATGGATCGTGTTGGATGAAGATGGATGAGGGGTAGTCCTAGGGAGGGGAGAGTGACTTTTCACATGTTTATTAAGGGGTAACCTTTCACAAAGTTGCCAAAGACTACAACTGGGCTCACAACGGACATACCTTATCAAAGCCCACATGAGAACCAAAGCAAGGCCTGTTTTAGTGTTGAACATCGCTTCATTGACCCTGGATATTTGGATCCTATCTGTGAATGCTGTAGGGGAAGAGGGCAACCATGGGAAAACGAGTCTCTTCCCACTTCCCCAACCTGTCTTCTTGCCTCACCAGGTGCTCTTGGCTTCTTCCCAGGTGCTTTGCTTGTTCCATCCGGTCGATCCAGTCGATCCACTAGACCACATCGGTCGCAGCAACCCAGCCACAAACCCTCCATATCCTCCATACACAACCCCTCCCCCCCATCTCCAAGCTCCCAGAAATCCGTCTCGTCTCCATTTCACCCGCACCTGGTGCATGGTCATGGCATCGCGCACCTCTGCTGAGCCCAGAGTCCACGATCCCAGGTTCCGCATCCTCGACTCGGCGTCCTCCAACTCCACCGTCAAGGCCTCGCGAGCGAAGGACCGCTTGGAGCGGAGCCAGGGGAAAAGAACCAAGTTTGGGCTGCAACTGCTAACATTATACATTTGTATCGTTTGTATATCGTATGCCAAAAGACCACGCACACTGCCAGTTCGTAGATTAGGAAGACCCACGCATACTGCCAGTTCGTAGATTAGACAAAACCGACCCTTCTTGAGAAAGGAACGTGACAATGCAACCGATCTTCCAGCAGCTCCGCCAATTGCTCAAAAACAATAAATTGGAGAATCGGAGGCCTATATATTTAGTTATATATTATCTTTTATATATACGATAATATATATATATATATCAAATCAAGTGCTATCAACCCATGAAAGCAGCTTGGGATAGCTGGGGGAGCAGGTCTCACAGCAGGATGTTCTATTTTTGTTGGCAGCTTTCGGGACAAGGCACGGATTTTCAGCGTCTCCTGGTGTGTTTTGGGGGGCCATCCTGCCCTTGAGGACAGTCAGGTAACCCCCAGACTGGAATAGATGCCTTCCAATCCAACTAGCCCAACAGGTCGGAAAAAATGCCAGTCCCATGGAGTGTCGGAGTGTCTAGAAATACAGAGGCTATAGAATCCGGAACCTCAAACAGATTGGGTTTTGAGGGTCCAGACCCCTGCTATGGAATGCCAGGGAGGGTCCGACCCCTGCCATGGAGAGCCCAAGGATTCTTAGGGCAGGACATGTTGGGACGTCCCTGAAAGTTGATACCATCATATGCATCACAGTTTTACTGTAACGATCTGTAACGTTGCCTTTTCCTCGGCGCGTGTGCTGGCTTAGACTCGTAGACCCTGCCAGAAACCCCTGCGGTTCCTGATCTGGCCACAATCGAAGCCATTCTTTCTTTCTGAGACACTTTGCTCTTAGACCTCGCTTGAGGCACCGCCTCGGTGAGGACGGTGGAGCGGCCGCCCGCCAAGGTGCGCCGCTTGCTGCGCAACAACTCGCGGGCCTCCTGGAAGGGCTGTGGGGCGGTGGACACTGCTGTGGACTGTGGAGCGGGCTGTGGCAGAAACCACAAGTCCCGTGCTGATTTGGGGTTCCAAAAGACTTATGTGATCGCATATATAATTGTGCAAGAATTCGCAAGAGTCGCATGGGTGAAAGCAGCCAATCCATTGAGCAGAAAGCAGCCACCTCCTGTTTTGTGATCCCTTTGGTCCCTTCAAACGAATCCAGCAACAGAACTAGGGACTCGGGACGCGTAACCTTTCACTGCGACTCGGTGGGAGATTTGGTCAAACCAGTTCATGTAGGTTTCAGAGGCTCTATGGCACTGGCACCAGGTTAGATGTCTTAGACAGATTTTGCGGGATCCAATATAATGCAACGTAGGTCGGCGCCAGGTTTCAAGCGACTTTTCCGACGGCAGTGACTTGCGGAACAGCGAATCTCTTAGATCACATGTTTGGGTGAGCCGCTGCCGTCTTATCATGTGGTGAATGTGCGATACATGTGCTGAATGCAGCTCTGGCCAGCTGACGATGAAGACACCACCGTGAAATATGCGCTGAAGGAGCACGAGGCCAGAACCGCCTACGCTGTGCAGCTCCGCGACCACTGCGTGCGTCTTTTAAATCATTTTCTTTGTGCTTTGTGCCATAGGCACTTGGCAAAGAGCTCAGCAAAAGTCTCAGGGGAAAACACCTTGGGGACATCGAACCTCTGAAACCACATGAAACCACTATAGGACTATAGGTTCCCAAGACTTTTCATAGTGACAACTGTGATTCACTGGAGGCAATCATAGGCAATCCCTGTCACACTTGCACATGGCACGCGCAGGCAAAACAAATGGCAAACACACTGTGTCGGAGGAAGCAGTAGTTCAAATGCATCAAGAAGAAATTGATGGTCGGTTTCTTCCAAAATGACACCAACCTTGGGGATTGTGAACGGAGGGAGTGTGTCCTTGAAGTCCAAAATGACTGTTCCGCCAGGGACCAGGTCAATTGGGGTCATCCTCTCCTCAAGTTGCCCTTGATCAGCACTTCTGGAAGCCAATTCCATCACTTGACTCACCTGGAACGCAGCGCACGAACGTAGGGACACACACGCACACACACACACATGTGATGCTGACAGGCGTCTTTTATTTTGATCAGTGACCTGGCCTATGAGCAAGGTCAAACTCTAGCCACCAATGCAACATAATATAGCAAACACTAGCAAACACATACTAAGCTGGTTGATGGTTTCAACTCATTAAGAAACTCTTCGTCAGTGGGTTCCATCATCCCAATAACATATCTGAAACCACCTCACCCAGTGCTGGGCGCAAATGGATGGGCAGCCAGCTGGCTGCGAACCGTCTCCCGGTTCACCCGGTTCTCCCGGCAGCTGACGAACCGATGGCAAGCGCCGTATTTCATACGACAAGCATCGAACAAACTCACCAAAGCACCACGCACCAAAACACCTGAAAAGAAGCACTTCCCACCCAGAATTATAGATATGATCCTGATAGATCTGATAGATCTGATAGGGATTCTGATAGATCTGATATGATCGCTGATGAATGTCGACCTGAGTGCTTCCTTCCCACCCAGTGGATGCCTGCAGTTGCCGTACCGAGAGTGGATGCCGTACCGATCGATCCTTCGGGTCGCGGCTCGCGGGCGACCGCGCGCCGCCTCCCAGCGTTGTCGTTGCTCATAGACCTCCGAGTCGGGCTCCATCTCGGGCCTCAAAGAAAGGTCTTTCGGAGCCCGTGTTTCACGGCGCGAGACCAGACGGAGACGTTCGCGCGCGCGAGACCGCACGCGACGCATCATCTGCATGGAGAAGCAGCAGTGGCGTCCGTTTCCGGACGCCTGCTTTTGTAGCTCACTCCTCTAGGACAGACCAAGAGCGGCCAAGACACTGTGGTTCATCGACACGTTGAACAGTCATGGTGACCACTGGTGTCTGAACCAGCACCTCCGCGGCTTTTTCAGGCGACTGAACCGCACGTGTTTTCATGAGAGGCTGGTGCTCCACAGCTGCAAGTTTGACGAGTCGCACTGGAAAGCGGCCTGTTTTCTCAAGGATAACCCCAGGATCCCAAAGAAACCGGACGAATCTCGCTTTTCATGGGGTCTACCACGAGCGCAAATGGCTAAAACGAATCAATACGACATGTGAATACATGTGACATGTCTTCCCAATCAACAATTTGCACAGCTTTACACAGCTCTGGAGACACACAGCTGTTGGTCCAAAAGCTCCAACCTCGCCTCCTGTTCTCGTACCGCCAGGTATCGAGCGCAGGCCTCCAGGAGCACCTTGGTCGAGGTATGTCGAGGTCGGTGGTGGTAGTCAAGCTTGGCGATTGATGGAGATAGATTCATCTACCTGGTTCTGAAGATGTTCTGAAGATGGCGGATGGCCAACATGGATGTTTTCTTTTTGACAAGCTTGCTAAAGGCCAAAGGCATGCGAAACAGCTAGTGAAATCCGCTTCCATTGTGAAGGCCCGAGTTTGTGCTCAGGTGAAAAGCAGCAGAGAATGGACGAAGAGACTGACTGTCATGAAATCTTTGGTCACAAAAATCGTTGCCTTGACCATTTAAATGCCCTTAAAACTTGGGAAGCAACTTTCGTTGACTATGATACGTGGCCGGCCAACCTTGGAAACTGAGCGTCTTCCAAATCAAAGGAGGGTTGTTTGGTTGTTGATGGCACTGTCATCTCATAACCCGACAAAAGCTTCGTCACGGCAAGCCGTCAGACCTGCAATGCTCCGCATTTGGCCCCTCGGATGGTCCGTTTGGAGACGTCAGCGGCAGCAAGTAGCTGCATTTTTTGCTTGTTTTCTCATCCTGCGGTTCTTCAGTGCTTTAGTTTCCTTTGCCTTTGCACCTCTATCCCGAGCCTGTTCCTCAGGAACTGCCTGAATCCATTGTTGTAGCGAAACCTTCGTTCTTGCTGCAATGTTGATTGGCACATCATTTCATCATCTTTGCCTAAAGGCCAGCCTCAGCCTTTGCCTGTGTCTTGGTCATTTGAAATAAGGTGCCCACACACTTGTGTCGCTTGCATCTATATGTCCATTCATTAAGGTCCTTGTCCTTGTTCGCCCCTGTGCTACTGTTGAAGGAGGATGCGTACTTACGCGAGTCCGCTGCCGTACGCGCTACGCAAGCCACGTCCAAACGTGGAGCAAGCGAAGTGTTGTGGTACAAAAACGTGCGAGTGGAACGGTCGACTTGTGAACGTCATCCCGCTCAGGTCGTTTGGAAGATGTTGTGAACGTTAAGAAGGAGCCATTGAACCCCGTCCTCCCTTGCTACCTCACATAGACTCCCATATGCTGGGGAAGGAATTTATAAACTTCCGTGGAGGCCATCGCTCTTAAGTTGGAGGCCATCGCTAGTAGGGGAAGAAAACAGAAAGATCAAGGATCAAACTGTGGAATTGAAAGGTATCAGCAAGCGAGAGAGGTTTTCCCTTTTCTCCAGACACTGAGAGAGTCCTACTCTGTATGCACCCAATAGAAAATGCCAAAGCGCAGGTTAAGTTGTTTCCATGTCTCAAGGCCAACTCCATGTAGAGTATGCTGTTGGCAGTGATGAAGAGTATGGTGTTAGTGGGTGACGTATGTCTTCACTGAGTTCTACTCTTCCGAACTCTTCAGATCACATAAAATCAATGACCTGGTCTCCCATCACCTGATTCTGCTTCCCTATGTGGCACGTCAAATGAAGGGGAAAAGGGCATCCGGATGAGCTGGCATTCAGCTGTGAGTAGTGTGGAGGGTGTAAGAGCACCTGTTGCCGGGTCTATGAGGACTCCTCATCCTCATCGGGAGTGTCCCTATCTCTCTCATCCGAGCACGGGCTTCCATCATCGATCGGTCCATCTGCCCAAAGCACAGTCTCCTCCGCATTGGCAGAGACTTCTAACTCCACCAGGAGATCTCTCCGCTCCTGGCGTCTCGGTCACCGTGGGGGAGCCACTGGTCGCCACTGACGACGAGCGAACGAGCGTTCGGCGGTGCTGCCGCCATGGTCTGCATCCAAATGATGGTCTGCGTTTGGGTGATCTCTGTGGAATGCTCCTGTTTGAGAGTCTTGAGCGGCAATTACGCGACTCCCCCTGTTCCAAACATGGGAGCAAGCCTATCTTTATGGGAGCCAGTGCCAAGACTTCACATAGTGTGCTGGTTCAGAGGTCAAGAGAAGCCTCCCTGAGAGCTTTGAACATCAAAGGCAGGAAAAAACTCCTCATGGCACTACAGATTTTTGCCCCAAACAAATCGTCACCCCAACTTCCTGTGCTGGTTATTTCGCGGTGTTGCTCGGGCGGGTAGCCCGGGGTTCCCCCGAGGCACCTGCCGGGGGAACCCCGATCACACATACGAATGAGCATGTGCTTTGGTGGCAACACGTGGTGCTTTGGTGAAGAGGGAGCTGAAATAGACGATGAGGGCTCTTTAACATCCATGGTCACTGTGGCAAGGATAGCAGCCAGCAAAGCGTATGAAGTTTTTTATACTATAACTTATTATCCAACGTATTGTATAATATAATTTGAGCTTTAAACAAACAATCAACCTTTCACCAGCATGTGACCATGTCAACATTGAACAAGTCATCGATGGGCTCGGAATCACGGAATCTTGGGGTCCACCCAGTAGCGCCTTACGCAGCACCACACAGCAAAACGTGCAGACTCAAAACGCGCAGACCGCCGTGTGCCGTCACCTCGGCGAAGATGTCTGGGATGGTCACGATGGCTTTCTGGTCACCCTCACGTCGCACTTCAAAGGGTGTATTGATCTCCTGACATGTCACGCGCGAGGCTTGTCTCGTGTGAGTGAGAAATAGATTTCTTCAAACAAAACCGGTCTGAGTGTGCAATGTCAGGAGCACTCTTGGAGCAATACAGTAATAATGAGAACTTCCCGTAACTTTCCAATTTCCTTTTCAGGGCTCTCCGAATCTTCTTTGCTGAGTGAAACAGTGACTTCCCACATGTTTTGACCACTGTGGATCACAGCCAGCAAATGAATTGATCCACTTAGCAACCTTTGAGGCTGGGGTGACTGAGTGCAGCACGAAGTCCACGGTCAAGCAGCACGAAGCAACAAAAACAGCAGCTGAATGCTCTGATTCATGCATGAATGATCCATTGGCTGAGTCGCCCTCCGTTGGCTGAGTTCTTTTTGGTTTCACCAGCCCAGTCCGGTGTCGAAGGTGCTGGTGTCGCCCGGTGGGCATCGTTCGCTCCCGAACCGTCCGGACAGTGTGGATGAACGGACCGACCGTCGCGTCCGGATCCCGTAGATGTTTGTTTTGCGAAAAACTCAACTTGGTCTACTCAACTCAACTTACACCCCAACTTCTTCCCCTACTGCGTCCGGCTGATTCCTCATTTTCCACGTTCTCCACGTTGATTTTGCTTCGCAAACTGCACCGTGGACCGTGGATCCTCCCGTGGACCCCCCCCGACCCTTTTCGACGGCGACAGGGTCCTTCAGTCGCGCGGGGCAAGTCAAGGTCAGCTGCACCCGCTGTGCAACGATGCTGCTTAAGCCGCCCACCACCCCGGCAAAGGCCTCCTTGATGGTCGAGGTCTCCTGGTCCCCACATTCGGAAAAGACCCCCACGGTTTCGCTTCGACCACACGGGTCCGTCTCAGAGGCCGAGATAGCCGAGATAGCCGACCCAAACACGTCACCCTAAGGTTTTGTCCCTGAGGAATGACGGATGATATAACTAATTGTAAGACAATGATATAACTTATTATATAACTATATCTATACATATGTTAATAGTATTGGTTCACATGGATGATATAACTTTAGTCAAGTCCAATGCCCGGCCAAACCCTTTTTGAACAATTGCTGGGCTGCACAGACAGCAGTCCTGGACAGCAGGATGGATCTACCACCAGACATTCTGGGACTACGGTCTTGACCCACTGACCCACACAGCAACATGCAGCTGCTGAGTGCTGAGAAAGCCCCAAGAAAAACAAGCGACAGGATCTTGCTTCGCTGCTGGCAACGAACCAGTGACTTCCTGGTTATGAATGTGGGTGATCCCTTCCACCCAAACGATTGAAGCTCAAATATGCCCACATCCACAAAACCAACCAGGGCTCACGGATGGCATTAAAAAGTGAAACACTGTAGATTGATCGAATTAAATTCAGAATTTCAGAAGACTCTTGACGAGCCTTGTTGGGATCCAATGATTTGCGCACATATATCTGCAATACCACTGCAAGCTGCTAGCACTGTGCTTAGCGGACATGAGGTGAGTATCAAGGTCTCTGTATGTCTCTGTCATACTTACTTGTAGTATGTAGTACAAAGGAAATGGCTTTATAAAGAACCGATATTGTCATTTTGCACCAACGAACGTCCCATCGTCCTCCACGTAGGTGAAGGGCGTCTTGGCGCGCTCCGAGATGTCCCGCAGCAGCACCGAGTCGTGATCCGAACCTTGCCAGGTGTGATCGTCTCCCTGTTGAAGTCATGGTAGTTCAATTTTTTGCGGGCAGAGACAAGGCGCGGGGAGAGTAGGAGAGAGTGACCAAACGAGTGACCATCATGCTTGGCTCCAGCAACTACACTCTCTTGTCTAACGAGTGTGGCCAGACGAGTGAGGCCTTTTCAATCGAGCTCTTCCCTTTTTCGTGCCCTCAAGGATGAGACTGTATACAACGGTGTCAAATAGGCTTTCTAAGACATCTCAAGTTGAAGCTGTGTTAGTTCATCATTCCCAACATCCGGATGCGCCCAGCACGTGCGCCGGATGCGCCCAGCACACGCGGATGCGCCCAGGCGCCAAAGCCGAAGGGATAGATCCCGCAGCCCATCTTTGAGGCTCGCTGCAAGAGTTGTGACATCGGCCCGCGGCAACTGCCGTCCTTTTGACACGCAATGGACACGGGGAGCTCTGAAGAGGGATCTCTCCCGGTTGGTTGAAACAAATGGATCGATGAATTGACATGGTTTGTTGACATGGTTTGTGGCTTCCAGCGGCCGACCAGCCGACAGCCATGGCTGCTATTTCGCTGGTCTCAAAATGGCTCATGGTCTCTTTTGCCATGCAAATATTTGTATTTGACACAACCACAAAAAGGGAACCTGATTTTCATCTCGGACTGGATTTCTTTTTCGCTCCTGCCCATCGGTCAGCAGCAAAATCGCACAAACCTTGTTCCGCTGGCGCCTGTGTGCAGGGCGTGCAGTTTCTCCCGGCATCAGCTCTTTTTCTGTTCCGTTTCTTCACCCCAATGGTCACACCGGCATTGCGGATCTCTAGTCCCACCTGGGTGTGGCCGAAGCCTGAAGCCCAGACCCAGCCAATGGATCCTAGTTGTTGACGCTCTGACCCAACAGCATAGGACCCTTGGAGGTGGTCCTCTACGAATGGGATGGGAGAGTCAGATCAGCCGGATTTGGTGAAGAGGCAGCATTCCTGTGAAGCAACGCCAGCCCTGTCCGTCAACACCGCGTTAACAAAAACACACTGCACACACACACACACACATGTGCGCACATGCGCAAAGGCACTACGCTATGATTATGCTTGATGTGTCGCGTTCCGCGTCCGTCTGCCTCTGTTCCAAGATTTGCAAGCCCAGTTCCAAGCCACTGGCGATTCGTGTCCCACCTCCTGGCGGGAACGAAACGCCATTTCTGGCAGAGTGACGGGACTTCTCTGCAGAGCGACGGATGAAATAAACATAAATAAACACTAAGGCTCCAGTCGTACCCCCTCAAAAGGTATGACTGGACCCTCCTGGCACCCACCCCAGTCCCACCTTCGAAACGAAGGTGCTTGAAGGCTTGGAGCCCTAGGGAGTGTCACATTGACCGAATGTGGGGCATAAATCGACACACAGCTAGACGACCTGGTTTGCTCAGGAAAAAGAAAACGATACATGACTATAGCCAGGAAGACTTGGTATGAATATCCGGAAGAATATAGCCAGGAAGACTTGGGTAACTATAGCCAGGAAGACTATACTTGGGTATGAATCCGGTATGAACATCCATACCCAAAGAGAACACATGAATCCGCATCCACCTGACATCGGATCGAAGATCGAAGCCATCCCGCGCTTGGCTTCGGCTCTCGGCTCTCGGCTTCGTCCGCGCACCTGAGGACATGCGGAGCGTCGCCACTGTGGCTTCGTCTTGCCCCGCTCGGTCCATACGGCGCAAGGGAAGCCGTCGTGCCGCATCTCAGAGTTGGGGCGATCGGGCCGGGCATAAGCTGGGCGATCGGGGCAACCAACACAGGGCAACCAAGCTGAAGCTGACGCCAAGAAAGCTGATGCAAAGGTCTCAACGGTTGGTCTTGCCTCAAGGTCTCTTCTAGGGCACTGCTGTCACGACTCTTTTTCCGTACGCGAAGTAATTGATTCACTTGACTCACATGACATAATATATGTATAAGACACACATATATATATATATATAGACATATATAGACTATATAGACTCTGCATGTAAAACCAGCTAACCATTTGTTGAAGATCCTAGTATGCACATTCTTTAAGACATGTGTGATGGGCATCATATCGAAGGCCGAGGGGACCACTTGAGATTGCCGGAACACGGAATACCATGGAATGCCTATCATCTCCACTGCAAAAGGACCAGATCATGCTTCTTGAGTTCACCCACTTGTGAATTTTCAGCCAGGGGCCACTCATGTCAGACCAAGGCGATTTACAACATATGTCCCTCCCCAAAAACATCACCTCTCGCATCTGGAGGAGATGTCCCCCCACTCTTCGGCAGGGATGTGATTGTGATTGGAAGGTACTTGCGCGCTTCCACCAAATCAGAGGGACATCCCAAGGGAGCCACATAATTGATGTTGCACACCTCATATCCTCTTCCGAAACATTCCTCGTTGAGGTGTAGATATTTCTTATGGATTTCTTGCACGCCACAGGGTTCCTCTCTGCATCTAGCAGATCCGTCTGCTCCGCTGGGATAGATTGCAATCCAGATATCCATCAAGACCATACCCACTTCAGATAGATCATGTCAAATGTCCTCTCGTTTCTTCAGAACGAATTTTCCCTACTTCAGGCTGACCTTCAACGCCCGTTTGACATCCACATAAGGGATCAGTATAGTTCCAGAATCCCCCAAAACAGGAATCTTTGCCCCAACATGTAATAACACAAACATCTCAAAACATTTATAAACCCACCTGACATGAAGCTAAATATTCCAGTCCCATGTGTTTTCTTTGGGTCCCAACGTGTCACCCATACCTACCGCACCTCCCGACCCACCAAGAGACGGGACTGGAAGGTCACCAACGATAGCCGATCCTCGGAAGTGGACTCCTGGATGATAAAGCGCACGGCAGCCTTCCTGAGCCAAAAGCACCCGACCGCGACTATTTCGGCTGCCGACCCACTGCCACACGCCAGCTGGTTTCACAGGGGGATGCGGATGCGGAATCCGCAAACAGGGAAGCCGGCGGAATCCGCCGGAAGTTGCGAGGGTGTGGCGAAACCGAGGGAAGCTCCGGAATCGAAGTGGTTCAGGGCCGCCCAGCGGGTTCGCGGGCCGCCCATCGATGTGAAGCTGACTGAAGTGGTCTGTGGAGTCTGTGGATTGGAGTGCCAAGCATGTGAAATAGCCTCTTCTATCACAAACAAGGGTCAACTGGGTTTGAGTGCAATTCGCCTTTTGTATCCTTTTGTGCATGTCTTTCTTTTCGGAGCTAGGTCCTAGGTCTTTTGAGGTACTTGGCTCCTAATGACTTCTGTCTTCAAACAAGAAACGACACTACACGGGCACGAACGAACCCAAGCACAATCCTCTTCCAGGATCTTGGGATCTACATACCACCAAGAATTGAATAGCAACAGAATGCAACAGAACACCTTTCCTCAACCACCCCTTTCTATGGGCGACTGGCGGTTTGGGAAGCTGAGACGTTGGAAAAGAGCCTTCACTTCAGTGCTCTGGCCCCAAAGAAAGTGACACACATGCACCATCATGCACCCATACACACACATCCATACACTCGCTGAAACAATCATGGAAGTGGACAAGCACCTAATTGTAGAGGACAGTTGTCATCCAAGGGACCATGCCATGCCATCCACGTAACCATGATTATTTCAAGGAATGTACTCGCTTGCCGCACTGGTCAAGCGTCAAGTCGTCCATCTTACTGCTGGCCCCCATAGAGCCAGAGACATCGAGGACACACACCTCAGTCGAAAGAAGCGATCGATTCATCGCTGATGAAAGCATTCAAGCATCGACCAGTCTTGGGACGCCGAAGGTGGAGATTCTCACCTCCTTTCCTTTCCAACTGCGGTGACTTTGAGGACCCCTGGACACCCAAGCCATGCTGCGAGTCCATGTCATGTGATCCAACGCTTCCATGTGGCCCACATTGCAGCATGCTGCCTTTTGGCCACGCCCGCAAGCGCAGTGCCCCGTGGCACTGGCCAGCCACGGGAACTCACTTCATCCAACACCCCAAATCACCTGGTCGTGAGCAACCCAAGCCGAGACCACCCATAACTATATCCAAGCATGAAAACGTCATGGATTGTCATGGATACAACACCCAAGACATCCCAAGGCGTCAACACCAAATCCCAAAGAATCCGACCGAACAGGAGGTCTGAGACTCTGAGACCTGCCGGGTGCCAAGCCGGCTTGGTGCACCATGAGGTGGAATACAATCGTAGTAGTCGATTTGGCACATCCATCTACATCATTCTACATCCATATTGGATCCCATATTGGATGGTTCACGAAAAAGAGGTGAAAAGTAGTGCATGTGAATTCCCTCACCACAAAATCCGCCCGACGGCCGTCCGGACGGCCGAAGAATCGGGTCAAAGCAGCGCCGAGGCACTAGGTCCATGGGCTTCCGCGTGGACTCACCGCTTTGGGCATCCGCGGAAGCCGGAGCAGCCTGAGCAGCCTGGGGTAAACTGGGCGATGTGGCCGGTTTTGGGATCGTCCGTGAAGGCAAAAGTAGAAAACAGTATGAAGAAGTGGGAGAAACATGGAGAAACCTTGAAAGCAAGACCTCCGGTGTTAGTTAACCCAAGAACGAACATCTGTCTGTCTCTTGAGGTTTTGAACGCGAGTTTTCATTCAAGGATAAATCTCTCGTACAGGCTTGAAGAAAAGTGTGAATCTGGAACTCAAATTCAACGGATTCCGTCTTGTGACTTGTGCTCTTCCGTCTTGCGGCGGGAGACATAAGGCAATCCCCGAAGCCCCACTCTATGCCCTTTTTTTGGGCGTGTTTTCACAGCGTTCCTTCTTGAGAAGTTCTTGACCTGGAATCTGTTCAAGGATGTTCAAGGAGTTTTGTTTGGTCGTCGTTTTAATGGTTCTCACCACAAACTGAGGACGTGCGATATGGTTTCGGGAACTCCCGTTGTTTGCAAACAACGAACGCAAGGTTCCAAAGAAACGCTTCCTATCACTCCAAGCGAATGGAGTCTTGATGAGGACATTGCTACCATAAGTCCGGTTGAACAGCAGTTGTGGCAGTTGTCTCGAACGCTTCCACTTCCAACCATAAACCAATAATTATAAAGCATATATAATTATTGGTAAATTAATTATATCCAATCTATTGAGCATTGTGTCAGGTGGTTGTTGCGGGACAGTGTGAAGAAGGGACCCACGAAGCTGTTCCCAAAGAGTTTCTAGAGCCGGTGCAAGACCTCCTTGCACGTGGTTTCTACCAGTATTTCCAAGCACCCAAATCGGCCCAGAATGGCCCAGAGGTTCACTCGGACTGGACTGCCAATTCGGAATTCCCAATGCATGAAGCCGTCTGGCGCGACAGGTCGCGAGCCGTCTGGCGCGACAGGTCATCTTGGGACCCGACATGTAGTCAACGACCAATTGTTTAACACTAAAACCAGCTGAGGCCAAAGCACATCACACACATCACACTCCACATCTCTCCGCTGGAATCTCAACAGCGGAGAAAGCATCTAAAAGCCCTCCGGAACGCGCAAATCCCTGCTACACCTAGTAGCTAGGACCTGCCCCCACCGAACACCGGCGCTCTCACCCTGGTCTCCTGCACGGTCACCAAGCCAAAGACCGCCATCGTTGCGCCCTTGGGCATGGCGGAGTACTCCACCCGTGTGCTCAACGAGAGGGGACCCTCCTGGCGGGAGGACCGTCGTTCTTCCACCGCTTTCGCTCGCTCGCGTCCGGTCGGACGCGTCGGACCATGAACATCGGACTGCAGGACTGCAGAACGGAGCGAATTCGCACCGCATCGTAGAATCTATCCCCGTTCTTTCGGCTTATTTGGTCTTTGCTTGTCCTTTCTTTTTAACACTATGGCGTTTTCATTGCTTTTGGTGAGTCTTTCGTTGACTCAGAAATTCTTTCCCACCCTTTTTCACTGCCCCAAGCATCGCTGCAGAAACAACGACTTTTTCTGATTGTGGTGTCCGGTGGTTCAACCCCAAAGGACTGAGCGGACCTGCTAGGACTGAAACTGAGCGGGTTGCACCTGTAAACCACCGAAAATTCCCACCACCAATTCACACAGCCCACAATCGTTGTGCCCAGGGGCCCAGAACATGTTAAAACACAGCAACATTTGCCTGATCAGGAGATCTCATGAGATACCGACCCCTTACGATGTTCCGAGAGGACCCTCTTCCGTTCACGCCACTCGGCGGTCCTCGCACCGACTTGGCCTCTCCTCATGTGCAACCGCCCCACACCCGAGTCTCCGCGAGTTTCGGCTCCTCCCGGCAGTCAGGATCCGGCTCGGAGGCCTCGGTGACCGCGGGCCTCGGCAGCCTGGGAGCAGGCGGTGGCGGCGAGCGCGAAGGATTTGGCCCCAAAAGTGTGGGGTTTCCAAAGCCCTACAGACGTTTTTCATGACCGGAAGGGCCGGGGTCCCATCCAATTGGATGTTTTTCCTTTTTGAGGTCCCATCTATTTTGTTCTTCTTGAGGTCTCTCAACCCCTGGAGTCTCTCAACCTTTCAGGACATTCAGGACATTGAATCACCTTTGAAGATGCTGGAAGAAATCATATAGCTTTGGGAAAAGTGCGCCACAAGGTCTGAAAGCACCCCAACTTCAGGCGTGGTGCCTCCAACTTCAGGATTCTAAGCCAAGCTAACAGGAAGCAAAGTATGCTTGATGACAGTATTTGTCTCAACAAGCAAAGTCTTTTAAGAGACCACTGTCAATGCATAGAACATCGTAGAAATATGATGAAATATGCTCAAAGCTCCAGGCGGTCTGCCCAATTAGAGACAAACCAAACCCATATTCATTTACACTCATTCACAAGTGTTCACAACCAGGCAGGACATGAATTTGGACCCCCACGAATCACAGTCCACCCGACTTCCAGTTGGTGGCGAATAGCCTTAATAGTAAAATGAGGTCAAACTGACCTGTAGAGCCTGTAGGGATAAATGGTCATTGATCAATTGAAACACGTCCTGCGGCATCTGTTGGCAGGTCAAAGTGGAGGTGTTCTTCAAATACGGCGGCCACGCCGATGCCGTAGCATTCCAGCAAAATTGGTCAAATCGTTCAAACGTCCTGCTGTGCTGTGCTTCCCCAACATATTTTTCATTGATGCCAACCAAACGCCATTCAGTTGGTGGAACATCTCCTTGAGTACAGTCCTGAAAATGGATTTCAATGGGCTTCATCATATTTCATCATATGAATTTCCTGGCTTCAGAGGGACCTCACATGTTCTTTACTTTTCCGCTGGCCGCCTGGGACAACCACATCTTTCACGCCCTGGCCAAGAGCGGCTTGTGCACCAGCTGGTCTCCAATGTTCGTTCATGTTACATGTTCTCTTTTGGGCAACAACTTGGTTCTCCCAAGCTTCATCCAACAGAGGTCTTTCAGGACGTCACCGTCACCGGACGTTCTTTCCTATCGGAAAACGCACCGGATCCCCGGTCACCGGTCACCGGAGCTGGACGGAACTTGCATGTAGAGCCGACTGTGCAGCCATACGGGAGCCGCGTATGGCTGAAGATTTCCATGAAAGACGACTGGGGTAGATGTCCATGTCTCGCGTCGGAGGATGCACGACCGAAGATGACAGTAGCAGTCTGCCGGCAGACAGGCGCCATGTTTTTATATGCCTTCTACTTCGGCATTTTGAAGGTCCTTGTGTCCCAGAATCCAACGAGAAGACTCCGGAGTCTTCACACCAAATTTTCATCTGCCAGGAGGCGGATCATCATCTTGAAAGTTCGGCGGCCTCGGTCCCCCAAAACCTGGAGACGATTCCAGGTGCTCGAAGCAACACTATGGGGCTCGTCACGTGGAGTGAAACATTGCACCCAAGTGAGTGGACCAAACGCACTGATGTGATCCAATTCGGTGCCAGGTACCCGTCATGCTCGAAAACCACCCTTCAATAGGCTGAATCTGAGTCAAGGCTCCAATTCAGAGATCGGAACATTTTTTATTGGATTCCACCCGAGTCAGTGGGGTGGTCTCGGTGATCCAGAAATTCATGTGTGAAGAATGCATGGTTCTTTTATTCCCTTAACTCCAATGAGCGCACCTGACTTCGGCTCATGATTCGTTGGGCGAATCCATAGACCTCCCAATGTTTCATCCAAAGTAGGTATCATATGGACCTGACCAGCGTATTTTCTTTGAAATACGGATCGCATGGTGGTCCATCCGTAGGTGCTAGATGCGATCACCGTTCCGACAGTCCACTTCTTCAAAGTGCTAAGCCAAGCAGCCCGCCCAAATCCATGGGTGATTGACCATACCATGTTGATGACCTGAATGCAATGAACGGTTTTGGTTCTTGAAAAGGAACAGGTTGGTCTTCGGGCACCCGGCGATCTGAGTTTAACAGTGAAATATTCTGAAACTACTCTTCTTCGAGCAATCCCCATCCCGAGGGGCGATTTGGAAGAAGGCAGGGCAAATGTATTGACAGACTAGTGTGACAAACGCTGCCTGACATGTCATTGACACAATGTTCTGGCACTTGTTCTGGCATCAAGGCTGTTATGTTTTCTGACACATCATCTACCATAAAGGCTATGAAATGTTCTGGAATGTGGTCTGACGCCCTTGTTGGCACGTGAAGTCTGACATGTGTTCTCACATATCTGGCATGTACTTCTGACATGCGCTCTCACACCAAACTGGCATGTGTTCTGACATGTGTTGTGACAGATGGTCAGACTTCAGTTCTGATATGTGTTCTGACAAGTGTTCTGCAATGTATTCGTTCTGATATATTGCATTCCAACTGGCATATCTTTTGACATTCTTTTCTATCTGGCAAATCCTGTGACATTCTACCTGCCATGCTGGCATCCTTTGTGGAATTGTGTGTGGCATATCCTCTCACATTCTATCTGGCCGACAGTGTCAGTCTTTCTGGCACATCGCCTGAGGTCCTTTCTGGATTTTTATCTGGCACATCTTCTGACATCGTTTCTGGCGTTCTGTCTGGCAAGCTTTTTGGCAAAATAATACCTGACATATCTTCTTGCATTCTAACCGGAATATCTTCTGACATCCTCTCAGGCAAATCACCTAGCGTGACAGCTTTCTTTCTGGGATATCATCTGACATGTCTTCTGCCACCCTAACACTCTACCTGGCATATCTTCTGACATCCTTTTCTGGCACTCTATCTGGCATACCTTCTGGCATTCTACCTGGCATATCTTCTGACATCAGTTATCCTTTCTGGTATTCTAGCTTTTTATCTGGCATTCGATGTGGCATATCTTCTGACATCTTTTGTGGCACATCGTCTGACGTCCTTTCTGGCATATCTTACCTGGCATATTTTTGAATCCCGGGTTCCAGCTACAGGCTAAGAAACCACAAAAACACACCGAATACACTAAATACAGCCCCGGATACTCACATGAGGGCCACAGTCCAACCACTGTCCAAAGTAATTCTGTAAAACTCATTTCTGCATTCTAAATCATTCTAATATGTATTTCTCAAAGTTGTTTTTCAATGTTGTTGTTGCTTCTCATATTGCGGCCAGACAAAAAGCACAAGCAATCCGGCCACAAAATCGGCAAGTGCCCCCGTAGACACATTGACATGCATTGAAGATTGAGTTTCGCAATCCTTTTTGTATTTTAAAGTCGTATTTGTGCAATTTTTCGATACAAATGTTCACCCTCAAACTGCGAGCCGGCAAAGCCCACCGAACCATTTTTTGGGTGGCCTGCGAAACGTAGGTAGGGCTACTAAGAGGTTGCACCAAAGACGCGGGTGCCAACTTCGCATCCCACCCGTATCAATGCGTACCAAACGGCAATGTCCTGAACAGTTGCATGCATTTTGCCCTCCTCCTATTTCGAACAACATTGTCCAACAAGAGACCCCGCACAGTGTGCCTAAAGGTCTAAAGTCTAGAGGTGTAGAAGCACAAGGTCTTGAGATCTGGACGCGCTGGGCTCCAGAGAGAGACAGAGAGAGAGAGAGAGAGAGGTGATGGTGGTGATGACGGTGGTGATCGTGGTGATGGTGGGGTGACGTTGGTGGTGGTGATGGTGGTGATGGTGAAGGTGATGTGAAGATGTTGATGGTGGTGATGAAAGTGTCCTCAAACCTCATCTTCTTCCTCTGCTGCTCCTCTGCGGCCTCTGCATCCTTTGCATCCTTCTTCTTGTCCTCTCGCTGCTGAAGCTCCTCCTCTCGAAGTTCTCCATGGCGAGCAACTCGTTCGGTGTGACGTTCAACACGTTGTGGATCAACCAAACTCACGATCCTCTTCCTGCAAGCATCTGAGTGTGCAACCTGTGCGACCTGCTCGAGCTGCATCGCATCCCTTTGCACCCGGCTGTGTAGCCGTGCTTCTCGACAGCAGCCTTCTTGACGTAGAAAGCCCTTGAATCAGGTAGATCTTGAACAGGCGGTGGAAGTCTTGACCTATCAGCCGACGGAAGGGGCAATCTGTGCGTCCCCTCCTTCATTCCAGTCTTGGACTTCAAGTCCCATGGAAAGCCACAAAGTTCATCCAGGCCCTCCTTCGACCAACGGTCCGCCAAAGAAACTCTATTGGCTGCAAGACCGATCTTCAGGCCTTCCTCACTGAGGCCTAGAACTGAGTTTGTCCGCGCATGATGCGTGGTGATGGTGGCGCACACACGAGCACAAATGCACCTGCCACAAAATCTGCACTTCAAGGTCCCCAAAGCTCTGTGCCTGCTGAGCCTGCGCAGTCGGAATGCACTTCGAAGATCTCGAGGTGGATGAATCACTGCAAAAAGATGCGAATTAAGCCAGGCACTGTGGCACGGATGCAAGCACCTCCAATCAAAATTTAGCCTTAACACCTACCGTAAGAACCCCAAGTTAGTGTTGCCACACTGCTTGGGGAACAACATTCTAATTGTGTATGTTAAACATGCAATGTGTATTTCCAGAAAGTGCAATGTATATTTTCAATTATTTTCAGCTGTATTTGTATCTATACAGACAGAATTGTTTTTTAATCGCTTGACATGCTTCCTGGCATCTTGGACATCTAAATGGCATATCTTCTGACATCCTTTCCGGCATTCTATCTGGTAAATCTTCCAGAATGATAGCTAGCATTCTTTCTGGCATATCATCTGGCAACCTTTCTGGCAATCCATCTGACATGTCTTCTGGCACTCTATCTGGCATATCTTTTTGCATTCTATCTGGCATTCTAACTGACATGTCTTCTTACATCCTGCCCGGCATATCTTCTGACATGCTTTGTGGCACTCTATCTGGCATATCTTTTGGCACTTCTGGCATGTATTCCGACATTCTTTCTGGAGTGGCGTGTTCAGGTCCGCCTGGCGCTCTCTATGGCTTGCAGGTCGGTGCGTGCCCGGACTGAGCTGGCGCTATCTATGGTGTGCTGGCACTTGCTGTGACATGACGTAATGGCAGGAGGAGGAAGGACGGCAGGCGGATGGGTAACACCTTTGCTAAAATCTAAAGACCCTCACCTGGCAGAAAGTGCATCCTGAGGCCCACAACACCCTTTATCGATTCTGTATTTAACAAATATGGATGGCCTCTCAGCCAGGTATTTACGATTCCTCTGGACGCCTTTTCTCTAGCAAAGTTGCATCTGAATCTGCATCTTGTTTGTGGATGTCGTATATTTCCGTTTATAGATCTTTTAGGACAGGAGCTTTCACTCCTCCACAAGATCTGTTTCAACATATGGAGGACTCCAACACCCCAAGCTGGAAATGAACGGATCAATGAAATTGATCTCAGTGAAACCTACAACATTCATCCCCGTTGCTACCGAGAATAGAGGTTAAGCACGCTCATGCTATTCAAACATAGTCAAAATAATATGGGTTACAGTAAGGTCTGAGGTGATCCTTATACTATATATATAAATGAATTATGTAAAATGACACAATTGTGCTTAACCACACCCATTGTAGATTGTCGGCAGCAACGGGGATCAACATTCGTATCTTCATGCTCACAACAACATACAACAACCATGCTCAACCCAATACACCCTCTTAATCGTTCAATCTTTCCATAATATCGACGGAGCTTCGTCTATGATTCCCTGGAAACGTCCTCCTCCGCCTCCGCCTCCTCCTCCTCCTCCTCCACTCCACATCTTTTGCCCGCCTTCGGCCTGGCCGTCCACCGCTCCGCTCGGTGTGCGAAGCGAGCGCCAAGGCGTTCAGCGGCGTCGCCGGCAGCGGCGGCGGCGGCGGCGGGCGCTCGGGCACCGTCCACCTGGACATCGGACAGATTTGAAGGGATGAGGTCTGAGGTTAGTTTTTGGGAAGGCCCAGAGAGATGCTTCTACATCTGGATTCTGTGGAATCAGTTGGAAAGGGTGATTTGGCGCCTTTGGAAGTTGGTGACCAAAGAGAGAGAGAGAGAGAGAGAGCTATAACAACCGGGAACTAGACTGTGACTAGTTCGCAATGTCGGCCGAAGGATTGAGTACCTGCAATGATACAAACCCGTCTACGAACCTAATAAGCCGGTTCTATATGGTTCTATAAGGCTTCTAACGCCACCTCCGTGTTTAGAAGCTTATCTCTACAAACGGACCGGGGCGCCTCCGAGTGCCTCTCCGCTGAGACGTCGTGGGGCTCGCGGCGTCGTCCGGTTCCGAAGAGGTCCTGGCGTCGTCCGCGGACCAGGTCGTGGTGGACGGACGAAGCTGTACAGTCGCCTTGAGACTGGGAGACTTGCTGATCGAGACGGTTTTTCATCGGTGTGACATCGAGACGGCGACGTTTCATCTGGGTGTGCCAAAAATGAAGCACTTCTTCTGAAGCTCCAGCTCCAGCCTTCTTCTGCGTCGCATCGAGTAGCTCTGTCCGCTCCCAGATCCCTCCGTCCGATCACCAGACGTCGTGGTTGTTTTGGCCTCTCATGTGAACCACTTCTCTACGCGCCGAACCCTTCCGTAGGCGGACACTCGGTGAGTGGTGGATGCTGCGAGCCGAGCCCTCAGTCTTTCAGCCCTGCTTCTCCCATCCTCTGTGATTGTTCTTCAGGATATCCAGACGTGGGCGGATCCACCGCGACCGACTCGCCGGGACGGTCCTGGTGGGTCATGGGCTGTCGGATGAGGTCGGTGGCGAGGACGACGGTGGATGAGGTCGGCTCTCCAAGAAAGAGAAATGGCCAAAGTGGGGGAAGGAATACCACGCATTGTGTTCTTCCCCCAGTTTCTATATCCTATCTTTTTGGATAGGGGGTTGCTTCAACCTCTTTCCAAAGCTTCGCGACCCAAGAAAGACCGCAAAGTCCAGTCAGGCCGAACTGGCATCTGCCTCTGTTGAACAACCATTACTGCGTGAACCCTTCGAAAAGGAACAATGGCCTTGCAGGGGGTCATGTGGGATACTCTCATGTATTCTCTAATTAATCATGACTGGCCAAAGTGGATGGGACTTGCTTCAAATGAAATACCTAAAAGCTGCTGAAGCCCAGTACTTTTTGAGAAGCCAAGTTGACCATCCAGACCCAGACCGTTCCACTTCCGGCGGACCGTCCCAGACCGCGCGGGACCGGTCCGGGATCCGACGGTGTCGGCCGTCACCGACGACACCGGAGGGAATGGCGTGGGAAGTCCAAGCGAACTGGAACTGGCATGATTCTTTCAGCTGACTGGAACTGGCGAACAGAGAAAACTGCTGGGAATAGCATGGAATAGCTGGGTATGTTCCTGTTCCTTCAACCCAAGAACCCCTGGAAACAGCGGGGCAGTAGCTGATGCCTCTGCTTCGCCAGAAAAGAAAGCTGACAAAGCCTGGCGCATCCGCGGCCCCTCCTCCATGTACTTCCCCCCTGGTTCATTCTCAAAAACCAACACCCGAACTCTGGAATTGTAAAAAGAACAAACTTGTGCTTCCAACTGGTGAAACCCTTCATCTCATTGACCCAGAGCGATATGCATATGCATGGTGATGTATTTGGCTTGAAGGCTTGGCTGTAGTAAATAGATGCCTGTTGAAACTGATGCTGTTGTTGGCATTCGTGCGTTTGTTCTTTTTGTGGTTTCGGTTACTGGGTGTTGATGCTGCTTTCGTTATGGTTGGACATCACCAAGATGCTTGTCCGATCGAAAGAAAGTAGACAACCATGACAGGACCCCCGTATGTTTAAGCCATTTCAAATGCATAGCGGCATACTCGTCTTGTATGTTCCCCATTTTCTCCAAAAGTGCAGTGGACAGTGTGGGGCAACTGCGGCCAATTGTGATTGAAACACCAACCCAGGACCCAAACGTCGTTTCTCTTGTTCCTTGTGATTTTCTACTAAAGACAGTGCAGTAGTAATCAGTACAGTACAGTACAGTACGAGTAGATAGCAAAAAAAAGATGCCCAAACCGTGAAGCAGCTGAGAAGGTCTTTCTTTCTAACCAACTCAAGAAACATGTTGCTTCTAGACACTGCTGTTTGTTGGGAAGTTCCAGCCACGAACGCTCCAGACCGGACGGAGACCGGAGAGCACTTTGGACGGTTCGGTTCTGGCGCCTCGAACACACCAAGGCCAGCTCCGCCGTCAGACGCAGCGGGCTCCGCAGGCTCCGCAGGCTCCGCAGGCTCCGCAGGCCCGGCTGAGGACCTTTTGGTCTTCTGGATGATGGGATGGGTGGGTGGAGGTGTGCTCCAACTTGAGAGGTGTTCTGTGACCTGAAAAGCACCCGGAAAACCGGAACACCTGGGGTACCTACTGTGGGAGAGTCGAACAGGAAAGGGTCCTGAAACAGCTGTTGGTATGGATGACTGGATCCCGGTCCCTCCCGATTGTTCATGGTTATATATGTCGACGGTGACCGGCCCGTGGAAAGACCATGAACATTCGAATATCAAACGAGTTGTGATGAGTTGTGCACGTTTATGTTCGTTGCAAACGAGGGTGCTCGAAATCTGACAGATTTTAGATGATTTTAGAACCAATTTAGCCACATTGGACATGTTGAACACATCTTTTTTTCTGGCTCATAAGTAATAGGGGTCAATGGCAATCGTCATCTTTTGGGCCAGCCAGAGTCCATCGATTTCACTGTGAGAGGGCGGGGATGTGAGGCACTTTCCCCTCTGCGAAACCGCTACGTGGACCGCTCGCTACGTGGACCGGTCGTAGCTCCAGGTTCTGACTGGCCAAGATGGTTACACTCCGACTCATCACATGGAAGTGGAGAAAACCCCCTGTTTCTAAAGGAAAGTAGTCTTCCTTACGGGACCATGCCATCCACTTCCATGTGATGTGTTCGTCAGAGTCTCAGAGTGTAGATGTCTTAAAAAGAATCTCTGTCAACCTGCTTCTCCGACTCGGAATTCTCCACCAGCCTGGACCAACCAACACCATCGGCCAGAAAGATGCCATTGGTTCTTGCTGGGCCATCCCCAACACACCCAGGAATTCGGAGTTTATTCACCAGACCGATGCTCATCTTTCCTGGCCACCTTCGCCACCTCCGCTTCATCCGTGAGGATCTTCCAACTGCCGGTGATGGGTTTCTTGCAAACATCACCCATTGAAATGTCCCGCTTGAGTATTCACCATCTAGTGGTGCCCAAATGGATCGTTAGGTGACTTTCCTTTCTCAATGTATCAGAAAAAACAACATCTCGATCCAGTTGGTGTCGGTAGGTAATCCATTTCTTGGGAATCAAGAAGGTCCAAAAAGCCTCATGTTCACATACCAGGACCATCCTGTCGGGGTGTCCAATAGACTATACCCACTAGACTCTAGACTACCTACAAATCTCCATTGGACACCCTTTGGATGGTCTAGGTATGTTCAGAAATGTTCACCACATTCACTTCTGCCGAGACACTCCTTTTCGTTTGCTTCGTTTGGCACCTCGGAACTGGCTTCTGCTCCCATGGTCCGCTGCTCCCGTGCTTCGAATGCTGCGCGTTCGACGGCGAAGTTGGACCGAGACTGAGCCAAAGCGGGCTCTGAATGGGAGCGCGGAGCGCCAGAGTCATGCGATTGTACATGATAGTAAAATGTACACTCAGTCTTGGACGGCAAGAATCAAGTCTTCAGTATTTCCTACATTGCCCATCATTACCCATCCCTAAAATTCTTTCCAATCCGCCTGATGCTGGAGCAGTGGATTATTGCTGGGGTAAACAGCGACTTCAAAAGCCGCAATTTGCACCTGGGGCGGCCCAACGTCCGACGGAAGCGAAGGCTGGACCCCCTACACTCCCGAAAACTAACATGGTTACGCGGATGGCACCAGCTGTTGGTAGTGGATTTCAGGGTCTTCCGAACTCGGGGCCATTCTCCACTTCCATGTTAGGGAGTGTAGCTGACTTTATGTTTGATATACCAACAATTGAAAGTTCGGGGTGCCCCTGTCACATCCACTCACTTGGGGTCCACCATGTCGGGATTGGAACCCCTGGCGGCTGATCTGGTTTTTGCCTCAAATGCATGAGCCATGCTGAACCTGTAGGCATGTTTGCGGAACCTTCCATGTCTGGGTCCATCACCCCCTTCTCTCAGAATCCCTCCTTTTCAAAGGTTCTCCCATCGCCCATGTTAATAATATGTCATTATAGGTTCAAAGGATTCTTTTGGTCAATGTTTTGGCGCATGATTTTGGGGCCGAAAACAATTTTCTCCGCTCTTTTCTTCGCAAACCCAAGCAACCATCAAAGGGTGAACGCGTTTAGATGGTCAAAAAGCCGGAGTTCGAAAGGTTCCAAAAGGGTGGCTTCGTTCGCCCCAGGGTTCGAAAGCCACCAGTTGGGCCTAGAAACCAATGGAATGAGAACAGCCACAGCCATTCCGCCTCAAGAAGCACCAAGTGGGTGCCCCGACAGCCATTCCTCCGTGACTTCAAAGCCTCTCCGAACCTCCGGGTGTTATGACATGACATCCTGGCAAGAGTTTCTCCCCCAGGTGAAGGGTCATCCAAGAACATGGTCAGGCAGTTGGCTTGAACATGACCAACCCTGAACTAAAAATAATGTTTCAGCCAGAATATGCCAGAATAACCTACTGCAGCCTTCATTGATGGAAGCAAGAGAGAACCCACATGAATGAATCATCATGAGCCCACACCCTACTATGCTCGGCAAGAACACTCGCTTTGGTCGGAAAGAGTGTTTCGTCATTGGTTGGAGTCGGTCCTTTGTCATCATGAGTCAGTGAAGACGACGGACTTTTGGCAATAAGGGCATCCGAACGAAACATGATGAACATCATCATGAACATCCCAAAACGAACACACATGGCGAGCCCTATACAAAGCCCCGTCATACGGGGGTTGCAGTGAATTGGACCCCAAGGAATGTAGGTCTTCACATGCCTGAAGCATCTGATGCTGGATAGTAGTGCAACTACAAGGTCCACATACCAGCCGTGGGCCACCCAGTAGGACCTGGAATGGAAGGCCTTCCAATCTAAAAGGGAAAGCTTGGCCAGTCTGGGTCAGGTGCCACCTCTCGACCGTGGAAAAGCTTGGCTGACCTTTGAACTGCTCGTCGAAGAAGTTTGTTCCAGTCTGGGTCAAATGCCGACTAGTTCCCGAACTCCACCGCTGGCAGAGAACGACCGTCCCAGGCTCCCGGCCGGATGGCCCAGAGCCCGGGAATCAAACGATGAAGAACCGAAGAAGCCACATCAACCCTACCGACCCTACCCTTTTCCACTCCGAAGAGGTTCGACTTGGGCACAGACCTCAGCTCCCTCCTGGCAGGAGTCTCGTCTGGGCACGTGGGTCTCTTGAAAAAAGCAAGACAACGACCACAAGTGTCCAACTCCCTACCGTTTTTAGGTCAGAATGGTCTGAATGAGCTTGCTCTCTTGTTCTCCAAACTGTTTTCATTATGATATCAGATTGAATTGAATGATTGCACGGCAACACACCCCCTCACAAAACAGCTGGTTCAGAAATTGGTATCACTCCAGTACTTCTTACTGCAAAACCTGCGTCTTCCACCCGTCTCCCGTCGGAACCGCGTCGGAACCGACCGAGACCGCTCAGGCCGCTCAGACCGCTCGGGCCGCACAGGCGACTTTCGACGTCTCCTCGCCGGCCTTCTTGGAATCCCTGAGCAAAAAACCGCGAGATGCAACGGAGAACCTTTTTTTGTGTCAGGTGAGGAGATACACGGACGAATCGGACGAAAATTTGGTTGACCTGCTGAACAAAACAGTTTTCAGGGCTTGGGATAAAGCTTGCTTGAAAGAAATATGGAGGATGGACCCAGGATGGACCATACAGTACACAGGGGAAAAACAGAAATAGCTCCTTGGGCGGGCTTGCAGGTCCTTCTGGAAATGCTAGCCAAGGTATGAGACTCTCTCACCGTGCACTACCATGTTCGCCCCACATGCAATGGCATCGCACTTAAACATAAATAAACCAGTAAACCCAAACATGATTATCCCCTTAAATACATTCTCACCGAACGAACATGAACAGGTTTCTTGTTTAGTACAGAAACTCCCGAAATCCATCCAATCCCCCCCCAAAAGGGGGGGCAGGTCATCCACTGCAGTAGGGATTCAAATGTCTTCCACTTGTCCAGTCAATCTCTTCGACCGAGTAACCGTGGCCTTGGCAGAGGAAAGAACAAGAAGGAGGCATGGAAGATGCTCATCCCTGTCTCAGCGCTAGAACCGACAACTCCTGGTAGAAGGTTGAGGCACTAAAACGGATGCCGAGAGACGCAAGGCTAAGCTTCTCCATCTTAGAGAAGGCCTGTGGGAAGCGTTGGGAACCCAGCCAGTCCCAACATTGACTTGATCAAAAGCTGCTGGCCCAAGTGGTCTCTATATACTGGTGAAGATGTGGGGCATCCAATCTACTGCCTGGCTATGGACTGGTCACACACGACCAACACTTGAATTGGGGAAGAAACATCACCCTAAGCAAAACGAGGAACACCCTCATAAACAATATCAGCACAACCTCACGGCGCTCACGAACCGTGATTTCTGATCAATGTGCAGAAAACGAGCGAACCCACACACACGGCCACCCCACAAACCAGGGTCTCATAACTGATTGGTCGGGGTCGCAAAGAAAGCAACTCCAACTTCCCTGAAATCCTCGTGGAAGTAGAGTGAAAACCCCCTGCTTGGTCAGAAAATGGAGGGAACCTGGTGAGGCTGAGAATCAGAGGGAACCTGCTTTGTGGTCGGTTCCAACACCCCCTGGTAATCCAGTCGACTCAAAAAAGCATCTGAGGCGGTGATTTGTTCGTTGAATTTCCATCTTCGATGGAAAAACCGTCGACCTGGACTTCTTTCTAAAAGAAGGACGCAGTCGCACTGGGATGCGGGTACACTGCGTGAGCAAGTTGTTAGCAGCCCGGAATTCGTCAGACCGATTGCACCATCACCATGAAACTCCAACGTTGAAACTCCAAGGATCTACACAACCTCTGAGTGTTTTTTTCCTGTTTTTTTTTGTATTTTTTTCGTGGTGATGTTGAAGTTCAACCCACTCACGTTTTTTTATTTGATCCGTGGCGTCAACAAGGCCCTCGACGTCAACAAGGACCCACAACATCCATCAACATTCGATCAAAACGTCCAATGTCGCAAACGGGTGCAGGGCGACGCATTCGGCCGACAACATATCCTGCTTAGGGCGAAATCAACATGTGTGAGCCATAAAGCCTGGGTAGACTTGCGAAACGAGCACACACACATATATACTTACTCTCCACGAGTGAGTTGGGACTGGTGAAATGACTGTACAAATTTAGAAGTTCCATCTCATGTGACTCATGTGTTCACAAGAGTGTCCACAACTCCCAGCTCCATCAAAATCAAGAACAGCCGAGGGTAGCTGGAAGAACTGAGACAGCTTTGGGAAACTCTTCTTAAAGCCTGTGGCAAAAGGCCAAGGTAGAGAAGAAACACGAAGATACAAAGACAGCAAGACTAGACAGGCGGGACAACATCCATGCAGTGGAGCTCACCTTGAGCCACAAATCGAGAAAACACAATCGAGTGACCAGTGTAACTCCTATATCTCATTTGCTGTTACAGATGCTTCTGGTCTGGTCACCTTTACGAGGACACATGTGTCAGGATTATGCAACATGCACACCAGCTCAGAACTGGCGCCAACTCCTAACTCATCTCAAAATAGTATATATAGATTGACCAAGTTATACGACACCTTTAAAAAAATGAAGCCTGAAGGGTGACATCTTGCTTACCTTGACATTCTGGGTGTTTTTCACACTCCTTCGTCCCGATGCGGTGTTTTCATTCGTCTCCGGGTTCATCCAACATGAATCCAACAGGAACAGGTTAAGCCTGGTGAGCAAAAAAGTCTGAAGTGGCTCCCAAATCGGTGTTGGAAGCGCCTTCAGCAGCTCCTGTCTTCTTCAACAACAAGGAACACACTCTCTGACAATTGTTGGAGGAAACTCACCTAGTGGTGGTGGATCCTGTTTTTTTTTGTGGACATCCTCCTGCCTCTGCTTGCCGCAAGATGGCATAGACCATCATGGTGTTTCCCTGCGGCGGTCAAGAAAACAAACAGACCAACCAACACACACACACAAAAGGACAAACACGACGCACAAACACACACACACACACACACACTTGAAGATCCCATGTCCACACATCTGACTTGGAATTGCACCGAAAACACTATTCCGCTCAGCAATGTATTTTGCATTTACATGGGACAGTTCCTGAACAAATTGGACAACGGTTCCTATCTGTCACGGTTGTCCCAGAGATCGGCCGAAAACGGACCAGCCGGATCGGACGAGTTCCGGGGCGACCCTGGCCCTACGAACCGAACGGAACAAGGTGCGATTAGAAACAAGAATTCAACGAATTCAATAGAATTAGAATTAACATTATCTAAATTCAATCATATAGTTTATATGCAAGAAATGAGCAGGCAATCGGCAAGGCTGGCAGGTGGTCGGGTCACAGATCTCCCAGTTGTCTTCATGGTCTGAGACTCCCAATATCTCCCAATTATGCCGTTTTTCGATCCCACTTCTTTCCGTACGCAAAGAAAAAGGTTCAGCTTCTGCGGTGCATGGTGCCTGGTTGAGGTTTAGCTTCTGCCGGTTTGTATTCGTATGTCTGCGCCGTCCGCCTGGAAGGTTTAGGAGGTACCATTGTTCACCAGCCCAAGAGATGTGAAGAATGTGTCAACCGAAGGGGCCGAGACTCCCAAAGACGACCTCCCCGCCCTTCGCCACCCCGAACTGTTCGGGGCTTTGTCCACCCCGAAGCGGGACCCATGCCACCAACAAAGGAGCACATGGCCGAAATCGCCTCCTTTCGCCTTCTGGTCCTTGTTCTGCTCAAATGGCACAAGTCCACCTATAAATACCTATAATAACCCAGGTTTATGTTGGCATTCCGCCCAGAAGAATCCAACTAAACCAGGTTTGGAGTCCACGTAGAGATCAGCTTGAATGGATGGTTTTAAGGCCACAGGCCCTCTTCAAAGCTCCCGAAAGGAGCTGATTCGGTGTTTTTTTTACCCTGGGTCCTGGTGATAGATTGCTCTGGAACAGACTTAGCAAATAGTCAGTTTCCAACAGAACTTACCACCCAATTCAGATTGGTGCATTGACTCGGCCGGCCACACCGGGCTCCACACCACACCCACGAACCGCCGCTTCTTTTTCCCCCGAACCGCTTCCCCCCATCGGCACGACGTGTCGCCCAACGGCTGGCGAGGTCGCCCAACGCCGCCCTGGCCTCGTACTGATATTGCACCTGGGCGCCGGTGGGTGTCTGGTTGGGTCGCCCGTTTCAGCCGTTCGCCCCCAACCCCGAGCTGTTGGCCCTGTCAAAGAACCACCGGCCTTCGAAGAAAGCAATTCAATAACGGCCGGTCATCCAAGGTCCATTTGGAAGGTCCTTGAAGAACATCCTCAACCCCCGAGGAAAATGTTTGGGGCGCTGTTGGGGATGGAACTTCCGGAAAGTTGATGGGGTCTGAAGTGTGACTTTTGCTTTTTCATCACTCTCAGCTATGGACATGAACTCTCTATTGAGCAGCAATTGTGTTTAGTGTACGTTCGGTCTGCCAGGCGTCCATTTTCCATTCCGTGCCTGTTGGTTCAGCTGGGTAGCAAGTGATTGGAGAATGTTGAGTCTGTGTAGATCCACAGAAGTCATAGGCAAAGTATTGCTTGAAGGATCTTGAAGGTGTATCAATCTGGCCTCCACACCATCAAATGCACCCCAGCATTATTCCCTTATATTCACTCCCATGGAGGGTTGAAGTTGAAGTGGTCGCTGGTTTCCCTGTTCACTTCCACTGTCAATGATGCAAATAAGCATGCATATTTTTGTGCATGTATATATCTATAGTATATATATATATTGTAGATATCTATCTATCTATCTATCTATCCATCCATCCATCCATCCATCTATCTATCTCTATATATAACCGTGTCTCCATGCCGCCACATCTGCAACCCCTAAATCTGGCCCACACATACCCCCTACATCGGGTTAGGATATATGGCTCTTGGAAAAAGCAGGGACTCTTTACTCTTGCACCCGGCATTCAAACGAAAAAAAAAGGAAACAAACAACACGCGGCCATGGCGTCCGGGCAATGTTGTTCAACATCTCCACCTGAGTCGTGGCAGTGTGTTCCGCCCTTGGTCATCCCCCAAAAAATCGGAAGCCCATGGGCAGGACTGCGAACATCCCGTGACAAGGTCAGGCGTGGGTCAAGAATTCTGATCGGAAGGTCTGTCCAGAAGTCCAGGAGGACTGCGAAGCTGGAGGGTCAGGTCGCTCACAAGTCGAGAGTTTTTTTTGTGAAAGTGGAGGGAACGCACTCGGGCGGCCCTGCTGGTTGAAATTCACACTGACGAAGCGATGTTGTTTAGGTGTATCATGGTGTATCTTTTGTGTGGCTTGTAGAGTCACATTACACATGGCCGCCACGCTCAAAGGGATGTGCTGAGCTCTTGATTGGATTGAAAGGGCCAACCCGAAAAATAAAAAGAAAATACAAGACTTGCTGCACCAGTTCTTCAATGGTCTCAGTCCACCGAACAGTTCATCAAGGTCGCACATGGCCAGTTCGCCGACACCGAGTTCGGGATGCGGACGCGCGAAATTGGCACTGATCCACCCAGGGCCTAAGGGGGCCAATTGCTACACGAAACCGAACAGAATGATTCATGGAAAGATATGGGCGACACATGGGCGATACCCATCAAGAAGCAATTTTTTCACCAAAGAAGCTGATGGGCAACACCCATCAAGCCTTTTGCTCGGTCAATCAGCATCCTATCATGGGTAATGCAATCCCAGTACAAGAGCTTCGCATCTTGCACCCAAGGTTTCTGGCATAGCTCGGCTGAGCAGCGGAACTACCAAGAGAGGATAAGTGACCTTATAGGATCTTGCTGCGGTACCTATGGGATAGTTATGGATAGTCTATAGGGTTCTTCAACCTCTGTTGGTAGAATTCCATAGAATTCCCGTGCTCAGCCATGGACTTTCAGGTCTCTCGGTTGCCGAAGTCGAAGTTGGCAGTGTCAACCCATCCGAGACTGCCATCTTCTGGTGCCCACTGCGGATCCGCTGTAAATCAATTGTTTGAGCCGCAACTGAAACTCCTTTGCTCTTCCCTCTCCAGGCTGTCTCTCGCCGCAATTGGTGGCTGTTCTGCAAGCAAAACCGATCAGCACCCTTACTCAAGAGTGTTATTCTCCGCCCGCGTACCCCGGCAGATTATATTGACATGCACGTCTCAACTCTGGGTTGAGTATTTCGCGGGTGCCGACTTCATTGCAGGAACACAAGACCCAGGGCAAATACCACCCTGTCACCTCACGCGAAGCAACATGGAAGCGTTTGAATCATGTTGAATCTACTCTAGGCTGTGGAGTAGGTGGGGACTCTTGATTAATAAACCCGCCCCATTTGAATTGAAATATCTCTTCATATGGGGTAGCTTATTTATCAAGAGACTACATTAGGTGGGGACCAGCTCATCCAGGCTCATCCTCCCATTTTTCCAGCTCTACATGGGGTGGGGTGCACTCAGCGCGCACTCCTTGGAACACTGCGTCTGATCGACCCAGCGGGCGTCGTCCTCAAACCGATCCACTAGCCTGTTTCACTCTAATGCCACGATGAAAACACCAAAAAACCTTCTGAGAATGGATGTGGATTCATATTTCCGGATGAGTTTGTTGCACATTGCATTTGTTGTGATGTTGCGTGGACCAACTGTCGCGAATCAACCAGTCCACAAGCCTGTCTCCTCAGGCCTAACATCTCCTAGGAACCCTTTTTTGCTGATTCTTGGGAATTATGACAGCGAGGCCGTCTGAAGGGAAACTTTGGGTATCTCCCCATGACCATTCATTCTGCTGACCAAGCAGCCAAGAAAAGCAACCCATGATGCGTGAAAGGAGTGCCTGGGACGCGGGATTCAGCAGGTACCATAGGAAGGGAGAAGGCGGTGTCTTAGCCACAATGGTAACCGTTAGCAGAAGCACCTTATGTGTTGTGCTCATAGTGCTCATTTTGTTCAGAGGGTCCACAATGTGAGGTTGAACTGAAAAAAAGTGAAAGAAATTGAAGACTTTCATGACTTATCAGCATATGTGTGTGAAAATTGTCAGGTTCTGGATTTTTGGATGTGAGAATTCCGAAAATAACCCTTCATTACATTGCTTTAGCATCCAGCAAATCTTGCCGGAAACAAACAAACAATGATAAACACATTACAATGAGTTGTGGAACAAGCCCCATTCTAGAGAAGATTGTGCCCACCCACCCCACTGAGCACAATCATTTAAAGATTGCCTCGGTGACTCTGGTGAAGTGACCCGCTGGTCTTACAAATTAACCAGCTGACACGTGATATGCACATGGTGGACAAAGTCATCTATCCCTCTCAGAAACATCGCCGTCTTCCTAGGTTGCAAGGGACTGGACAGCAAATAATTGCACATCCAATCCAAACATATTCTACCCATATCCACCCTATAACGACGTTGATCTACATGAGCTGCTTGGAGTGCAGAAACGCCTCCTGCAAGATGGAAAAATGATCCAGGAGCGATCCACACCAGTCGTGGATGAAACCTGAATCATCTATATACTGCCAGGGGACATGCTTTGGAAGCTAGAAATCCATTGTTTTCGTGCCCTCGAAATGGGTGCCCTGTCGCAGCAACGCCTTTTCGCCGCAGTGTTTGGAAGCCTTGCGAGTGCTAATCACAATGGCAGGGATGAAATCGGCACAAGACATCAAAAAGAATAGGCCCAAGTCTTCTCACAATGGCAGGGATGAAAATAGGCCCAAGCAGTGGCCAAATAGGCCCAAGCCTTCCGATGGACAATGTCAGGGATGAAATAGGCACAAAGATTCTCTGAAATAAGTGACCTTCTATTTTTCTTTTAAAATTCACAGAGTTCTTGCGCCTATTTCTTCCCTATACCATTAGGAATTACTCCCGAATCCTTGGGCCTATGATTGGGCCCACTTCATCCCTCACATTGCATTTGTGTTGGGAAGGCTTGGGGCGACTTCTGCTCACTGCTCCCTACCATTAGGAATTGGTCTACACCCTCACCTTCTTTAGACCTACATTGAAGCAATTGTCCCCCACCATGAGAGGACAAGCGCCGAATCCTCCTCTTGCGCAAGTTATCCGACGGATGGTCGCCAATTTGAACCAATAGCAAGATCCCACGAGCCGCCATATCGCCTGTTGGGCGCTGCGGAGCAAAAACACAAGGCCGCGGCGCTGCTCTTCGGCGCTGATGTGTGAACGCGGCGGCGGGGCTCGGCTGTTAAAGCGATTTTTCACAGAATAACATGGATGGTTAAGAAAAGGATTAGCAAAAGCCGGCGTAACTAACTTCATGGCCGGCGCGGGCCATTTGCGGAAGCGTGGGCTATTCGCGCGCCATTCCTTAAGAACACAATTGTTGCAAAGTCTGGGCAACCTTCACAGACATTTGTGGAAGGTGTTTAGATGCACAAATTTCCTAAAAGCAATCCGGGCACACCCTTTCCCGCTCCGGTTTCCCTTGGTGGTCACAGAAACTGAGCTCTACATCTTCTCTACTTGTGAACCTAATAAGAGATTGTCTTTTTTCAATGAGTTTTTTTCTGGCTAGGAGCCTGGAAGCACCTCCACTTCAAAAGTTCGAAAAAGCCTTCCAAGAATCACAGACGCTTCCTGCCTCAGGCGCGGTCGCTGCTCGGCGGCGCTGCGGTGCTGCTCGGCTACATCGCGCTGCTGTGTGAACACATTGCTGCGGGCCCGCTCGACTGGCAGGTTCAGCAAAAGCCTCTTCCACTCTGCAGTTGGCGCTCGTTGTTTTGAGTGGAGGACCCTTGCGTGAGACATGTATATATAGGTAGATAGTTGCTGTGTCAGACAGGGTCCTCGCTATCATCAGCCGTGTTTGTGTAACCACTAACCTGAGCAGTCATCGACCATTGTCTCCTCAGTTTTTTAATATTCAAGATGAAGCGGCGCAGAACCGTAGGCAAGCAGCCGGTCGCACACGAGGCAATCGTAGAACATGCGCTATCTGCAGTTGTGTTGGCTGATGACGCGGCAGATAACATGGAAGGAGGACGCAGGAGGTGCATCCGGACCACCAGACCGTTTCCGCTTTTTGCACCACAAGGTCATCGATAACATTGTCCGGCTTTTAAAACCAAAGCGCGTAAAACACCTGCGCACCATGACTGTCTCCACTCTTCTGAAGGAAGGGTCGGCCTGGATGGGGTCGAAGACAGGCGAGATGATTTCATCTCAGCGACCACGGAGCTCATCCGGAAAATGCTGGCCACAAGGCTCGTCGATGCAGTGAAGACAGGTTCGAAGGCTGTTGAGGGTACCCTCGTCGTCGCGCCTGCCGAGACTGATCGTCAGACAAAGCTAAGATATCAGAAGAAGTCACAAAGCCTACTCAGTCCAAAGGAGAAGATATCCATGCCCTGCAGTGGGATCACTGCAAGCCTGGCCATCAAAAAACACAAGAAACACATAAGAAACACATCACCATGGAGGTTAGATGCAGCATCATAAGTTTGTCATCCTTTTAGATACCTTTCCAATCAGCATGACGTAGACTCAATCAAGTTCTCAGCAATACATGAGACAGTAGCAAAACAAACGAAGTAGCAGTAACATAAGCAGCATTCTATATGGCGGAAAGAATAGCAAGGCTCATTTCCGTTGACATGTGCTCAAGGTGTTCATCGACCAAACTCTGCTTTGTTACAGAAGGGGAATCGTTTGGCAGCACCAGGACCCCAAAGAAAAGCATTCGGATAGTTCACTCTGCCCAGATGCGGCAGTGGTGTTCGGTCGCGTTGTAAGCTTGTCAACCTGGGCCACCAACTGCGCATATACTGCGCCACGGTGGAACGGTCCTGCAAGCAAAAGCTTCTGGAAGGCCACCAACTTCGTTTGGCTCTCAAAACCAAACTTCTGGAAGCCAACCCCCGCTCCTGCAAAGCAAGAGATTTGCTCCAAGGTGTGTAAAGGAACCTGGCCAATCTCAGCTGGGCTCCAAGGTGTGTACGGGAACCTGGCCAATTGACTGTGACCTCGTTCGGCTCGATGCACTGCCAAACCACGTCTGTCGTACGACAGGTCTGACTACAGGTCTGTCCTGCGGAGTGAGCTCCTGATCAGAATTGTTAAGACCTCAAGAAGACATACGGAACACATCTAGGCACCTACTCTCTCTCCCTCTCTCTATGATGTTCAATTAAGAGATATCCATAGTGTCAAGTTGAAGGGCAGAATCATGCTGGATCAGGACTAAACACCCCCACAGATCAAACGGTCCAGTAAAAACTGCGAGCTGCGCCCGCCTCCTCGTTCTGGGCGTTCGTTTTTTTTGCGATGCCTAGGTGCGAGTCACTTCTGAAACGCTCAGCCAAGCCTTTCAGACTCTGGTGCTTGGACACCCGAGCCTCTCTTTTTTGGGAAAGCGAGTCACAGGGGGTCGGAGCTCCGAATGGCGATTCTGTATGCCGTGGATCGGGTCGTGGCAGGTCCTCCTTTGGGAGAGCAGGGTTGGTGGGTTTGGACATGTTTGATGGCACTCCTTTGGAGAGATTGGCTTGTCTTGGGACTATGACTAGGACAAATGAGTCTTTTGGACGGGTTTAACGGCCTTGCTTACTACAGTAGTTTGAAGGGGTTGACTTTTTGAAACGATATTAGACGATGTTTGCATCTATTGGTGAGCACCAAGACTGAAAATAGCAAAAAGGCCAGCTACAAGGCATTTCATAAAGGTATTCCTTGGGAAACAAAGGTTCGCGTGCTGCGGTGGCTTTTTTCGCTGCGGTGGCTACTTCATCACCATCAGTGGCTTACCGCTTTCTGGCGCGCCCAGTCGAGACGAGATTTTGGACATCGTGCTCGCCAGCTTCAGGGAAGGTGGGTATGAGTCGAGCGCCTACCTCTCTCGTGTTGCAGTGATTCCGTCAAAAGCATGCTATAGGGGTGTGAAGATACACTTCCACATTTGTGCATGTGTTTCCCAGTGGATACGTTGGGTAGCATAGGCAAAACAAAGCTTTGAGGCTGCGAGGGTTTTCCCCCAGTTTCTCTCAAGTAGGAGGACCCGGCAGACCACCGGAGGAAACAATATAGCTACATGTTGCGGTACTGCCACCTGCCAACCAAACGGATGCCCTTAGAGAGCTTGGGCCGCTCGCCACTGTTGTGGTGCCATCAAGGCAAACATGCTCCATTCATTGACGCTATCAATGGCGTCCTGGATGCCTTTTTGCAACGCGTGCGGCTGGCAAGAAGGGAGCCAAACGCTTCACTGTGACTTCATTTGTTTTCAGGTTACCCTTTCTTGTTTGTGACCAAGTTTGTGAGGTGTCCTGTTCAGGGAAATCTTCTGCAGAGGGGTACCAAAAACCAAGGTTCGGCAAAGAAATGTTCCCAAAGAATCCAAAAGACATACATTATCTCGAAAAATTGGTGTGTCGTTTTCCGGTCTCGTGCGACGCAACTCAACCCCATGTACTTCCGAGCACATCCAGTTGTGGCCTGTTGTGCAGGAGCGGAGCGTTCAAGCCTCCGATCCGTTGTTGATGCCGAAGCTCTTCAGCTATGCGCGGCAGCGTGGTAACACACCGCTTTTGAACTATTTGTTCAGGAAGAGTGCCACGGTGGCAGGGAAAGTAGATCTTTGCTACCAGCTTGAGCGATGTGATGAAATTATACAAGTCGGCTCTCTATCTTTGTGGAAGTGATTCACAGCTCTTCAGACACCCTGCGTTTGCAACAAGGCGTGGGCACGAGCTGCGAGAGAAGTGGTTTTCAACAGGAGCCTGCATTGCGCAAAGGCATCAAGAAGGCGGGCTTGGATGGCAAGGGAGATGGATTCGGCAATGAAGGGAAGTCGTTTTTTTAAGCCATGGAGTCGAGCCTCATATTCAGTTCAGTGTCTTGGGCTAAAGCATAGTGCGCCAACCTGATCTGTAGGGCCCAATCATACCAGTGGCTTCGAGTTCTGCATCTTCTTTTTACTGTTGACATTTGAGTTCATCTATTTTCTTGAGGGAGTTACCAGGAGGTTCTCTGCTGTTTCCTGTTTCTTTCGAATTTCGTGTATCGTGCTGATCTGCTTCGATGGCTCTCGAGGTATTCCGATGTCCTTCAAAAAGGGAAGCTGCCCGCTCTTGGGTTTGCCAACTGCAGACACTGTACTACTCGACGATTTCCGGCCAGACCCTGCTGTGATTGACATACCAACCCTGTTATGCTGGCTAGAGGGCGGAGTATTTGTGATCAGCCGGCCATTGAATACTTACCGCACACATTTTAAAATACAAGGCCACGCAGCCGCATTTTGCGACGTGGAATTGGCATACCCTGTAGACGCCTGTCTGAAACAGAACTCAGCATGCTTCGTGCGCGAATGAAGATCTACGTGTTTCGAGCTCGCATCTGTTTCTCCATGTGTGCCCTTTGGCAAGGAAGCGCTGTGACGAGATCTACGGAGAAGTGATTTCCTCCCATCTCGGAAACGCGACCACTTTCGAGCCATCCTCCTGAGAAAGAGTTCACACCGCAGACCTGGCAGTTCAGTAGGCTCTCAAAACAGTCTTTTCCCACAACAAGCCACATCGGTGTTTCCTCTTACACAAAACAGTCTTTTACCATATCGAGACACGTGAATGTTTCCTGTTACACTTCTTCATTACAAATCCCCATACCCCCTTGTAATCAATGTTAGTAAGTGACATGGTTGCTGTTATACATCTTCAGTACAACTCCCCCATACCCCCTCGTCATCAATGTTACCGTTACAGATGTTCTGAAACAAACCGGCCACCCCAAAAACTTATGCCTTCAACATTGCTTTCTGGGGGTTGTGGGGGATGTCACTGTTCAATCAGGGTGCTTGGTACTTGAGAAAGAGACAGCTTCAAAACTTGTGACTGGAGGTGGGCTTGAGAATTTGTAGTTGGTTGAGTCTCCGCGTGAAATTTGCAAGTAGCCGGAGGCATCCGCAAGTGTACGGAAGAGAAAGAAGAAAGGAAACATACTGCAGGCGGCTGTCAATTCGCACGAGGTCACACCACATGATTCTAATGACAATTGAACCAGTATCTTTTTCTCTTTTCAAGCAACCCGAAACGAAGAAGGAGCAATTAAGACTGGGAATGGTATTCCATGGGGTCTGTGATGGGTGTTCTACTTTGTTTCGGAAGAACAAAAATATTCTATGCGACAATCGGGTGGCCGACAAAACAAGTCCCCGTTCGCAGGCCTTTTGGGGCTTCAGAGTCTCGGGCCCCGGTTGTATGTGTTTCGTGGGAGGCCCCGAGATACCTGATAGCTGATACTATTGTGTTTCATCTTGAGATCGGATGATTTCATGTTACTTCTTGTACCACACGGCACCAAGTTTTTTGGGAGGCCGTGGGAGTCCTCATGTCGCCAAGCTGAGGCTGTTGACCAGTGGCACATACAAACAGGAAGTTCTTCAGTATGTAAAAACAACTTGTGCTTTCTGAACTCGCCCCATTCAATTTTTGGCCATCATCCATCACCCTCCAACATCCTCCAACACTCTCCAGTCGGCCCGTTTTCGCAACCCGAGTGACGAAAGAGATAGCTGGGCCGCGAAAGGCGTTCCACCAAGGAGACCAGCTTCAGGCAGCTGGGGCGGGTGAACCCGGTGCGTGGACGACGAGGCGCTGGGGCTTTCCTTTGAGAAGAAAATACCCTTCGTCGTTGCGGGCTTTCGAGACTGGTACCATCGGGTAACCAGTGGATTTTCGGAGATAACACGTGGTACCAGGTTTTGGCTAACTTTGCATTTCCTGTTTCAACCGTTGCAGTTCTTGATTGCATGGGAGCGGAACGTGGAAGGGCTTCGCATCGGACAACCGTGACGTCGAGACCGATCTGCACGAGTTCACATGCACAACGGACTCCAGGGATCCACCTGCCACCTTCTCAGGTTCGATATGACTGGACCCTACTGTAGGCTCTTGATGATGAACCCCGCCATGTCATCAAAAAGGCTTCTCAATTCAATAGATGGGGTCTATGAATCAAGAGTCTAACTAGATAGAAGCCAACCTTCCCAGAGTAGATCCATACAGATCATCCCCAACATTCCCCTGGCCCATCTGCTCATATCTGCTCATCTGAAGGCTTCTGAAGGACTCACAGTTTCTTGTGTTGAACGACACACCTTCTTCAAAAACACACCCGTTTCAGCGGCCAACACGTGTTGCGGTGTTGCACGACGCTGGTCACGTTCGGCGTTCTGATGTTGGAGACGTTTCGCACGCACGCACGCGAGACGGGGAAGATCTAAAATCCAGCGCAGGACAAGAAAAAAACCCTTTTGCCGTTTCTCCGGTGTTTCGGTACTGCTCCCCTATAAATCTGGCTTCATTCGCTAAGTGGAAGCCTCCAGGAAGCCTCCACTTGGTTTCGAATACTCACCTCGCCTGTGCGCGCTAGGGCCCGCCAAAATGGCCCAACCTCTGTCCCATCTCTGGCTGGTTGGTTTGACATCCATTCTTCCAACATCTACCCCGTTTCTCGCGTCTAACAAACGCACCCGGTCAGAACGCGCACCTCTCTAAGCAAAAGCACTTCACATATGGAGAAACCTCGGGCACGGTCGAAGCCGAGCGCCTTCGTCTTCCCCAAAAGTAGTTGGGCAAGGGCAGTCGGCTTCATGACTTTTATGCACACGGCCCCGTTCGGCGCATCTTGCACTGACATGACCTCCTATTGTTTGTCCTGAACGAAGTTTTATTTATAGGTTTTCTATGGTTTTCTGATGTATTTTGTGTCGAAACACAACTCACTTTTGGGAAGGGGAACAAAACCAACTATTGACCACCAAATGATAATTGAAAGCTGTTTTAAGGCCAGGGAAACTTGACTTGAGCCGGCTGGGCCTTTGGACACTCACTGCTGGATGATCCACCCACAGCACCCCAGCCGTCGCCTGCCACGTCACGTGCCCCATTGACACACCCCCCAACTCTGGCGTCTCCTCGAGAAGAACCGGTGCCAAAGTACATTGCACAGGGCAGTCAAGAGCATCTCCACCAAGGCGTCGTTCTGCGTCTTGGGAAGGCTCTCTGAAATGACCTGGCGCTTTGGCGTTTTCTGGTGACCGGTGAGACCGGCGTTTTCTAAGGATTTGAAGGATGGGATGGTGTTTCACGTGTCAAAAAAGAAGGGACACACAACACTATTCTAGTAGATGTTAGCATGTTTGTCCAACCAAGAGTTGGATTGATTTGATATGGAACTGGCCAGAAACTGCTGGGAACCATGGACTGGCTTTGTAGGGTTCCCACGACCTTGGTGACCTGCCGGCGCCGCACCCGGGGGGGAGATGAGAGTTCGACGACAAGGCGCCTTATGTTCAGCGCTGGGTGGCTGTATTGGGTGGAAAGATGTGGAAAGGATTTGAAAGAAAGGAAGAATAGCCTCCTTTACTACGTTCGCTTCTTGTTACTACTAGTAAGGCCTTGTTACTAGAAGCGATGCACTTGTTACTAGTAGCTTCTTGTTTGATGAATGGTAATTCTTTCACATTCTTTTCAAATCTGCATAGAATCAATGTTCTGTTGACTGTCGCCAAGTTAGAAACTCTAAACCATCTGCTGTCTTGGCAGCAAATACACTCCCAAGGCAGTCCTTAGCTTACTCCTTCAGACGGGGGGTCTATACTCGTTAAGGGCCCTACCTGCTCAGACCAGGTCTTACAACACGAATACGGACAATGCAAAGAACCATGAACATGAATGAATCATTTTGTTGAATCTTGTTGGTACCAGTACCAGTACTGCTGTCTGTGTTTTTCTATTTCGCGCTAAACAGATGTCCAACCCAGACTTCAGCCAAGTCGGTAATTATAGACAGCAGGCCTTTGGAAGTAGACAGGCATGATTTTCAAATGGTGACTTTGAAGCCGGACGAAACCTTGTACAAGGAGAGCGCGAAGACATCAGCCTGAGCAATCAAACGTTGGTCATGATGAACATGTCTTCAATCTTTGGAAGCAAAGCGGCCGAGTCTCAAAACATGTCTTGCCCCGTCTTGCTGTACCACAAAGAAACACCCATCATGGCCTGCAACTCCTGTATGCAGGCAGGAAGATTCGTTGTCAATTATATAAAAATCAAATCAAACAGTATTGCAATATAAATTTATTGCATTGCAAAAAGCAGTTGCTTTCTTGATGCGCACACGCAGACACACACACACACACAAACATCTATGATGTAAATCGCAAGCAAGCATGGGTTCGCCCCGGACTCACTCAAGTGTGGCATGAAACTGATGCAAGGACCATGTGAAACACCGTCAATCACTTGATGATTTACACATAGAGGGGACCTGGGCCCCCTCTATCAACAACTTCTGCACCCAACAGCTGAGCCCATGACGTGGTTTCCGTGGAAGGCGGGAATCTCCAGGGGAACCTTCTTTGCCACGTACCTGGGACCAACATGCTGGGACTCAGTGGCCAGGACTCAGGACACAAGCTCAACCCGAAAATGGGCTCATACATGCTGATCATCCTGGACATATAGCTTGGGTTTGGTTCTGGTTCGCTCAACGTTTAACGCTGTTTGCGGCTCTTGAAAGGGGAGTGAACAACCGAGAATGCCATTGATGTCAGTGATGCAGGAATTACTTTTTTGGCATCATTTATATCATGGAACATGAATAATAATATATGTCAGACATTTGCACAAAAATGACAAGCTGCACACAACAGTAATTATACTTTTTATGAAGTCAAGTTGTTTTCGATCACGATGTCACCATCATGAGGCCGAGTGTTCTCATAACAGTCGTACTACCAAATCAAGACCAAGGCCGAGTGACTTGCGCCCGAAAACAGTGCCGCCCGCAGAAGAATTGCCGTGAACCGCGCAGTGTCCTAAACACTTCAGCTTTTCGCGACCCAAGCGCCCGCGTGGCCAAAGCGCCAAGCACGCGAAGCGCGCGTGCGTGTCGGGCCCTGGGCCGGCACGGGTCGTTGAGCCGCACCGCGAAGGCGCGCTCCGAAGAGAGGACCAGGAGAACGAAGGAGGCCGTGTGCAGTAAGCCTCGGTGGTTACTGAGGCGCGTGCGTTAATTGTGGTTGGTGGTTTGCTTCTTTTAGCGCGGTGTGAAAAAAACGACATCTACTCCTAGTACATAAGTTCATTCTACATTATTTGACCATCCATGATAGGAAATGAGCTCGTTGGATTACCTTTCTTCACTTGTTGGGACATCCATAGACATATAGAATCATTACGGAAGAACAGTGCTATTGCTGTTTTTGCCTTTTGTTCGGAACGTTTTCTTGATACCAACAACGGCTATCTTCAACTGCTGGCGACACGCAGAGGCCCGTGGAGACTCTCTGGGTTCCAAGCCAATCAAGTGCACAGAGGCCCGTGCCTGGCACGGTGGTTTCAATTGACCAAGCGACGATGTGGAGAAAAACACCCTGGAGCAAAGACCAAACACACCAAACGCGTATACCAACCAAACAGTTGCCAATCGCTGGTCAAACCCCAAACTTGAACTGATTTAACTTTAACTATTAACGAGCCAAAACAAACACACGTTTTCCTCTGCGCCTGCTGTAGCAAATACATGAGGGACAAGAGAAACTCGTTGGTGTCGTGTCGCTCGACCACCTCGAGTCACAAGTCGCAGCGGAGCAGGTCACGCGCAGGTCACGCGCAGGTCACGCAGGTCGCACGGGACGTGGGCGATGCAGGAGCGAGCGGAAGGAGCTGGAAGAGGCCAAGGAGGCTTCACTCTTGGCTGAAGCCTAGGGAAAGAAATGTGAAACAAGCATAACAAAGCAATTGTGGAACGACATCCAGGCCATCGAAATCTAGGCTCTATCATGACGCATCAGGTGGCCCCCCGATATCCCCTCAAAGTGGATATCCCCTCTCCCAAATCCACGTGTTTTTTGTTTTTTGATTCCTTTCGTCTCAGGCTTTTTGCAAGCTCTTGATGCTAGGAATTAGGAACTAACAAAAATCACAGTCACAATCTTATGCAGTTTGAGTCAGTTTGAGTCATTTCTTGGAGAATATCCAGAAAGTTGCAGCTTGGCCACAACCACTCAACGCCCAACGGTGAACCGCCCCCCAAAACTTCTGCCTCCCTGTCCGGGCCGCCCCGGCTCGCTTGGTGAAGTTCGAGTTCAGCGTCAAGACGTGCCAAAGCAGCACCAACGCCTACGACGTCTCCGCTCCGCTAGACGTCTCCGCTCCGACGGTTTTCCCAGTCTCAAAGCCGTGCTGTCCCGGTCTCGGCTCTGTCCGTTTTGGGGACGAGTGGAACACGATCATGGAGCGAGTGAGTTCAACTCGTAAACTTGTGAGTTTTAAACACAGTCCAACCCATGAGCTTTCGGTCAAGCCCGGTGAAGCTGACATTTTGGGTTTCTTTGAATTATATTACATATATAAATATAAGTATTTTTTTCTGATAACAAATTATCCACTGGCGTGGCTTTGATGGTGACTCCACAAGTGAGGCATCATGGAGTGAAGTAGAAGCACAAAATAGTATAAGTTGGGTATACTGGTATACGCCATTGCCAGCGACAGTTGACTTTTTGGCACTTTGCAACTTAATGGAGTGGTTGTCACTCCAAGACGAATGGTCAGTGTCTACGTACCGCAAGCCTACCAGTAACAGTGGATGATGATGGTTAGTCAATAAGGCCATGTTCAAAAATCGTCAGAACATGTGACAATTATTTACCGACTGGTGCAGGTGATAGGACAAACCCAAAGTATAAGTATGACGTGGTAGTCTAAAACTGGAAGGGCAAACTCTACAGTGTGTCTAACTATTTTGCTTCTCCATGTCGCAGTCATTCGAGAAAAAACAACGGAATAACAGTCAAAGCTTCCCAATGAACCAGGTGAAAAGACAGCGGACATCAGCGGACGATGAATCACCCCAATACTCGGTGCTACATACTGATCAACCCTGATCACCTCCTGGACCGCAGTCAGTCCCCGGTTCCGCACGCCTCTTGATAGAATCCCACCGATCGCATGGAGCGCGGGAGGTAGGTCTGCTGAGCCTGAGGTAGCGCACATGGCGGAAGTCTGGAGAGTCACCGTGCTAAGCGGAAGCGCTGCAACCTCAGCTTTACGGCAACGCCAGTTGCAACCACTGTACATGGAACAGCTCTTCAAACGCGTCTTTGATTGATTCTCTATCCCTGAAACAGCTAGCAACTGCAAAAGCTGCGCCGTTTTGGGGTTTTCTGGGATCACCATTCGTGGCAGCTATCAACTACGAACACTTATGCAGAAGTGGTTTGCAACTCCCCTTCCACCATCGATATATATATATATACATACATGAATATATATATATATATTATATACATATAATAGCCTTTAACGAACCACCATCGCTTTGCTAAGGATTTCACACTACAAAACCAGGTCAACCAATTCAAGCTGGCTAGGGCTCCACTATCCTGTTGCGTAGATGCAACCAGTTCTCGACCTGTTTGCTTTGCAACTATGGCCAGTCAGAGTGGACGATGGGTCTGACAGTTTTGGGTCAGGACCCCCACCACTTCATCCGTGCCTCAACCCAACATCACAACATCGGTGATACTTTCGGGCGGCGAACATCGAAAAAAATTTGTTTTGACATGCAAAAACGGCCTTCTTAACCAACGTCTGTCCTTTCATGTCTTTTCTACCCCCACAATCGTTGTCCCACCCCTTGTTCCGCGCCCCGGTCGGAGGATTGTCCTCGTTCCGCCTGATGGACGCTGCTCAAGAGCCGCAAAAGGCCTGTGAAGAGCAGGTCTATCTCCGGCTCCTGCAGAACAGCGGGTTGCAAGGGGGCTCCTTTCAATTTTAATAGTGGAACATAGTAGAACCCTTTGGGCAAAGGGGTGGAAGTCAATGGAATGTGCGGTGCGGTGCACCGTGCGGGCTATTTTGAGCGGACATGGACAACGTGGAACAGCAGCTCAGTTGATGTCCATCACAGCTCCAGAGAATGTGTGAAGGATTTGTGTCATGGATTTGGAATATGTTGATGTTGGGACATTTGTTTTCCAACAGGCTCTATATAATAAGGCTATCTTGTGAAGAACGTTTACAGGTTGGGTCGTTAGAACAGTGAGAAGGTCCCCTGCATCCCCCCTTTTGGCATCAAACCGAAGAGAACCGAACGGCCCAAATGGAAAGAAAGGCGTCCGACCGACCCCGCAAACAAAAGAACACCAAGATCACAAAGGTGAGAGAAACAATGGACTGCAAAACATGCCACACTTTAGAGTAAATGTGCTATGAACGCCCCTTGTGGAGATCTCATGCCATCACATAGATTGGGGTGGTCCATCCCTTCCCTAAGTTTGGACAACTCTAGAGTAGAGGCAGGTTCCAACCAAACAAGTGTGTGTATGTATGAGCATGAGCACTCAAAGGAGACAATCAAACAAACTTCGCTGGAGTCGAAGGCACCAGCAAGGCTCAGCTGACAAATAGAGGAGCTTTGCTAGCAGCTAAGAGCATTGACCAAGCTGCTGCTGCAACATCTTTGTTGGTTGCAAACCACCCTATGTTGGGCAAGTGACGGACTGGCATGATCGCTTGGGGTATCGCTTAGGCATTGCTAGGAGTGTCGCTTCAAATTCCCGAGTTTTGGCCACACAGGAGATGACTGCTGCAAATTCTGGACCTCTCAGATGTAAAAACATCCCTGTGATTAGAACAGGTGGAATTCTATAGAATTCCCTTTCAGATCAAGAAGTTAAATGCGAAACGAACACATGTCGCACAATTAGGGCATCGCTCTTGGGGGAGGCCCATCGCTTCCTTGGGTTGGTTCAAATAAACAAGATTGAAGGCGGCTCACATCTTCTGCTCTACATACCGTGTTTTGACCGTTGCTCATATAGATCAAACGCATAGACCATTCTATGTGGATCGTGACACCCCTTCTGGACTTGCATCACCTTCAAGTGACACCTGATCAAACGTGAACTCATTCTACTCCCCGGTACACTTCACTCAGATTCAAGAGCTGAAGCGTAAACCTTCAAACCAGCTCTTCGAAGAGGTGAGTCCAATTTCAACCTGGGGCCATGTCTTGAATCTGTCAGCAGTATCATACCCCCCACACCCCCAATACCCACGAGCATGTTAAGAGGTGAGTCCACAATCAATCTGTCAGGAGGATATTAAGAGTTCAAAGACTCAGCCATCTCTTGAAGTTGCCGATGGTATGAGGTACAGTTGTGATCATTGGGCTGTCGGTATGCGTTTGCTCTCAACAAACACTGAATGTTACTTCAATCAACCCCAAAACACCTGAACATTATATTACTTGGATCTGCTTCAGGAATCAACAACAAATTATCCTCAGAAGGGGATTTACCCAGTTTGGGAAAATAACAAATCAGCTGATCAGCAACACTCCCAATGATTGATCCGACATAGGTCCAACCCTTCTTTCCAACTTCGTCCTTCGTTACATGCTGGAGCATATAGCGATAGACATTCTTCTGCCTGCGGGCGCTCCCCGCCATGGGGACATGGTGAGATGATACCCAAGCATGGGCCTCTTCATATCCTCTTCATGGCCTCCACATAATTAGCCTCTACATGATATGACTTCTATATTTGCGCCGGCCATAGCAATCTCTAGCGCCTCCCGGCCGGCCTTTCTCACAACTCGGCCGGCCTTTTGTTGTCGGAACTAAACCTCAAACACTCCTGAAAACAGCATTGAACATGCTTAACCATTTCAGGTAGAACATGCGAAGCAAACAACTTGATTGATTCTGAGAATTCATCCGAATCAATGAGGCCCATTCTCTTGATTCTGAGCGCTTGAAAGCCACGGAGCCGCAGAAAAAACCCGCCTGAATGGTGTGATGGGTTCCTGCCGGTGGGATCGAAAAGGGTTTGGGCCAAACACATATATGGGCCTATAGTTATATACATTATGTTATATATAACTATATATATACAACAATATAGTAATATCTATATTATATTTAAACATATACAATATATATATATTATGGTATAGGCTCCTTTGTCATCCTTTCAATGTTCTTTTCGAGGATGCCCTTTTGCTTGGACAAAAGAGGGTTCTGCTCAATTAAGCTGGGGATCGATGTTGAGAGACACCACATTGTCTGTGAACTACGGGATTTAGAATTCTAGGGTATAAGTTGCATGGATTGATTGATAGCCTCCATTTTAGCTGGTTGTAAGTCTCGTTTCTGGCGGGGTGTCATAAGTTTATGTATGACAATAATTAGCAGTATGCTGAGTCAAGTCCTTCAGTGGACCTGGTATGCAAAGTGTGGATCAGTGTTTCAAGCAAACAAACACCAACCACTTAGAACTTATGCCTTGGTCCCACCAGCACATGGCGCATCGATACGTATGTGATTGATTGTATACATGTTTATACAAGTATCAACACCAAACGCATCCAAACGCCCATGAAACGCGATGGACATGGGACACAGGCCTCCTATTTCAGTGTCACTTCTTGGCTGTCCAACTGAGTCAAAACCGAGTCACCCCGGTCGACCTTCCGGGTAGGTCAACAAGGACCTTCCGGGGTAGATCAACCAAGGTATCCTTGTTTTGACTCACTTCCATAAACATGCGCTGGGCACAGACTCTCTGTCCAGTACAACTGCATCCTGCTTGCGTGGCGTGACGTACTTATGTAAAGTCTTCAATTTAGGCATCCGGGAAGGTGCTGCTCCAGAAAAAGACCTATAGGACCTATGGAAGCCCACAAACATAAAGTTCAAGAGATAGTGATCAAACAAATCTGACTTAATGTCGACTGCCAATTATAAACCCCCCCGGATTGATGTCTGCACTTTTTTTGTTGGATTATTAACCCCCCCGGATTAATGTCTACATCCGTGTTCGTAAATATTTGTTTAGTTATTTATTGTTTTAATATTATAATATATTAATATGATTATTAAAACTGCTTAATTTATTTTGTTTCTTTTGCCTAATATTGATTTCCTGTTAACTAATATTGATTTCCTTTTAACTAATATTGATTTCCTTTTAACTAATACTGATTTCCTTTTATCTAATATTGATTTCCTTTTAACTAATACTGATTTCCTTTTATCAAATATTGATGTCCTTTTAACTAATATTGATTTCCTTTTATATAACTAATACTGATTTCCTTTTATCTAATATTGATTTCCTTGCAACCAATATTGATATATGTTTTTTCAATTATTAATCAGGAGTCTCAATTGTTAGAGGGGGGGTATTACTAATCAAGAGTCAACATTAGCTTCTAACTCACCCAGAAAAGACCCCACAAATTCTGGGGTGTCGGATAGTGACTGCGTGCCTTTTGCCCGTCACTATCCTGCCGGGTGCCTTCGGAGCTTCTTCTGCAGAGCATCTCCCAGTGCTCCAGACTTGATGACAAAAATAGATTGGTTAGATGTTAGTGCGTTCACTTATCCCAAGTAAAGGCTAAAATGAACATATCTGAAACAACAACAACAACAACAACAAAAAACAAACAACAACAAAAAACAACAACAACAACAAACAAACAAACAAACAAACAAACAAACAAACAACAGCGACAGCGACAGCGACAACAAAGGCATTGAAGCAGCCAAAAGGAGGAAGGAGACGGAGACGTGTAGATCTCAATCGTGTCCCGTAAGAACATCACAACTTGTGGTCCAATTTGAGACTCTCAAATGTAGCCAACCCAAAAAGATCCAAAACATATGGAACTCTTGAAGGCCTGAAGACTCTCTCCTGAAGCCCCCCCACCAACAGCCTGGTCATCCTGTGCCACAAGCCTGAGCAAAGGGCTTGGAACATGATCGACAATGATGAACCAAAGGACAAACATCTTCAAGCAAACAACCGTCAAGAACTACAGTTTCGTCATGTTTTGTCCTTCCAAGTTCAAGAATACTACTAGATACTACTAGAATGCACATCCGATCCCAACAAGAACTTCGTCTCGATGACCGATTATGACTGGGTTTTATGAACTCTGCAAGTTTCCACTGCAGTCTCTCACCGTTCAAGACGAATGTCCCCGAAAAACCAGACAGCTACACTGCTACACCACCGGGTGTGCCCGACACACGTTTGCCCTCAAGCTCTTCGGGCAAAAAGAAGTCACCTACCTGGCGGGGCGATCAAAACACCGGTGCCAACGGGGTACGCGGACCCGTTCAGCGGACAAAGCGAAGACATCGAGTCCCAGTGTACCTGGCCTGCACCTGATGGTGCTGCCCTTGGTCCGTTCTGTCTTGGAGTTGAACAGTTGCAAATGGTGACATGTCCAAAGGCGTAGTGGTGTTTTGATATTGATAACGCTGTGTTCCCCAAGGGTTGCGAGACGAAACCAAGGGTTTTTGTAGAACACCTAGACCTAGACCCATTTGTCATGTTCCAATTTGAGTGGATGCCTGGGCATCCCCATTTTATAGGTATTATGTATGCTCAAACGGTTGCTTTGTTTTTCACTCTGATGGCACTTTCCGATGAACTCTCCAGAGGCTTCTCCGATGAACTCTCAAATGAAGACGAGGTCTTGTTTCCGATGAGTTAGCCTGCGAAGCAGGAAAAGCCTCTTGTCATGTTTGTTTGCTACCGGAGAATAAATCACACAATAAATCAAGACCCTCCCCTCCCCCATAAAATCACAAATCTCTGAAGAAACACAGCTCTTGGGTTCAGTTTCTATGCTTTCTTGCCCTGGTTGCTCCCACATAATACCACCACCCTCAAAGGAAACCAGGGCCTCTGGGTTCGAACTGGCAGCAGGGCCCTCAAAACTCCATAGTGCAATAGAATCACGCAGCACGGAACGAACACAGCCTTTGGGTTTCACCTCCCTTGCCAAAGTTCATCGTCAAAGAAGACATTGTAGGACACCCAAAAAACACATTGGAATCCATGTCGAAGACACCATCTGCCCCCAGAAACACCGGAGTGTTCCAAGGCTCTTTTCAAAAAAGGGGTGGGAAGTAGGCCTCACCATCATCCTCTGTCTGTGGTCCCTGAAGTTGCCAATTCGCGTCCAAACCCCCTGTACGTAGAACCAAGACCCAGTAAATTAACAATGAAACAAATCCTGGACCCCAACTACAAGATTATATATACTTATATATATACAGTAATGAATACTGTAGTTGGGGTTTAACTATGTGTATCCTGGACCCCTATAAAATCAAACACCCCAACTTCACATAGTGAAACCTCACAAGACCTCGACCTCTATAAATAGAATCAAAGCCCCAAACTCCACATAGCAACATGCACAAACCATGGACTCTCTCTGTGAAGCCATGTGCCCAGGTTAAGGTGCAAAGCTCAACATGCTCGAGAATTAAAGGATACTTGATACTTTTCTATAGAATCAATCGCCTGGGGCCTTGGGTTTAATCGAAGTCAGTTTCTGTATCTCTGATAACACAGGGTACCCGGGTCACTGCATTCTTGTGTTCGGGTAGTCAGGTGCGGTGGTTGGAAGTTCGATGACTCCGGAGGATTACCTCTTCAACCTCCCCACCGCTCAAGACTTCAAAGAAAAACCTGTCCAAAGGTGTCCAATCCCACATCCAGCAAAATCCGCAAAATGATCACACACTTATGGATATGCATACGGAACTGAAAGCAGTGCCACACGCCGGCCTAGGGTTCCATTTCCTAAGGGTACAGGTAAGGAAACCTAAAAAGGAAGTGGAGGTCCATCCAGCGGAGGTCCCGAAGGTTTCAGGTGGCCAGCAACTCCAAAAGAAAAAACGATCGAGCGAACGACAAGGTGAGGACGTGCGTGCAGAAAAGCCAAGTTCATCACCGCTGCATTAGCCGCTTACTGCAAAACACAGAATTGGAACAGCTTGTCCATTAAGTAGGTTTCTCTCCAAGCAGGTACGTCAATCCGGCGTCCCGGATTGATGTCACAGATGCAGCACTGGCGTCTTCTTGGTGCCAGTCCAGTGTGCATCCCTGGCACCCCCTGCTGAGTAAAAACAATTCAAATGAATCCCTGTGACTACAAGGGGCACACACACGCTCCCCGAGGGGAGGCGTAAAGCTAAGGTGAGGGCCAATGTGCACGTGTGCGCGCGCAAGACAAAAGAATGAAGACATGACAGGAGGACGAGACGGGACAAAGGTGCGTGTGGTTGAAAGGAGAGGGGAACCAAGTGCACAGGGACACCCGATGAAGCCCAACTCATTGTAAAGACCTGGGCGACCTGAAACCTGACATGAAGACAGGAGGACATGAAAGAAAAGAGGAAACAAAAGTGTGTGAAGGGGAAGGGATGAAAGGGGAACCAAATGGAGGGGACGAAAGCCGATGAGACCAAACCTCATGGCAACGACCTAGGTGACCTGCCTCGTTTCAATGTACACGCTGTGTGTGCACCCAAGGTCGCGACAGGTTCCAATGAACCTCAAAAGTACTTCGGTCGCTCTGACCACGTTGAGGCGTTAAGCCAGCTTGGACCGCTGCGGTCACGTAAAGGCATGAGCCAACTTGGAGTTCCAAACTGAGACAAAAATCCGAGTTCGCGGCCCAGGCCACCTACGCTCGCTGCGAGCTGCTCTGTATCCGGGCAGTGGATACGTTCGACAAACCCCCGTTCGACGGGTCGACGGGAGGCACTCTGCGGGCTCATCCCGGGTTGGCACGAGGCCAAACACACTTATGGATATACGGAACTGAAAGCGGTGCCACACGCCGGCCTAGGGTTCCATTTCCTAAGGGTACAGGTAAG